AGAGAAAAAGAAAGATCAGGAAAACCGAAAGGATGAGGTGAAAAGTAGTATCTTAGACTGATAAGTGGGTGAAGGGTAAATGGTTGAAAGCTGAGAAGTACAGGTTGCATCTGAAAGTTTGGACATTGATCCCCAGAACCAGAACTGTTTCTATGCCCTCCCTGGTGAAGGCAGAAGCTGGGTTGCAGGCATGCAGACGTCTTGTGGAGAAGTGACAGGGAAAGTGAGGAAGCAGAGGCAGCAAGGGTAGATTATTCTTTTAGAGCTTGGCTGTGAAGGGGTGAGGGAGGGGATGTAGAGAGAGTGCATTCATACCAACAGTGCACAGAGAGCATGCATTTGCCTAGGGAGAGCAGAAGAGAGTTGATGGTGGTTGCTTCAGGGGAAGGCAAGGTCAAGAGGGAAAGTTCTTTCGAATGTCAGAAATTTGATCATGTTTATAGCCTGAGGAATGGGAGCTGATGGTGAAAGAGATTAAATGCCTGTCAGAGTGGATGATTAATAGTCCTACCCTAGTGTAGCACAGAACGGGTGGGAACTTCTCACAGGCAGGACAGAGGTGAGGGAGAGCCTAGGACCAGGTGAGTAGGCGTCCTTCGGTGGGAGAAACCTGATCAGAACTCAGAGATCACAGCCAAACACTAATGACTGACCGGGGAGGTAACTTAAAAGCCTGGACATCAAGCTGTGTGGGGATGGCATGAAGTCTAGAGAACGAGAGATAGTCAGCAACAGGAAGGTGGGTCAGATGGGGCAGTTGCAGGGCAAACTCTAGAATCATTGTGTCCTTGAACATATGTTTTTTTATGTGCAACTTGGAAACTTACTGGGCTTCAGAGTGGTTCTTAAAGGTGAAAGCAGCCAACATGAGATGTGGGCTTGCTTGCTCTAAGACATGGATTTAAGAGATTTGATTGAGAGATGATTCTGGAAAACTTTGAAATAGAAAGGATATAAATTCAACGAATGATCAGATTATTTTTAAAGATCTTTTCACTAAACAGGAGAGGTTATTTGAGGAGAAGAGGGCGAAACGGTGGGATTTATGGCTGGAGGAGAATGGGGAAGATTTGGAACAATCTCTAAACGGAACCAACCAGAGATGAATGCAAGGGTGCCAGGCGATTGGAGATGATCAGCTATAATTAGATAGCATAAATTTGTATGGAAACCAGTTGGCATCATTAAGTGTCATTTAGCAGCAGTTTTCAGGCCATGGGGACTAGAAACATAGACAAAAGACTTTGAGGTTTGGCATGGACTGGGCTCTGAAAAAGCAAATGCCTTCAGGTCTGGGGGCAGGGATGAGCTGGATGAGGAATTTTCTGGTGCAGATGTGATACAGTTGAAATGACCTCAAGGTATGGAATGGAGAAGGAGGCAAATATTACTTAAGGGAAGTTGACAAACTAGTGGCCACAGAGGAAGAAATTAAAGATTATTTAAGTCACTAATTGGGAAAGTTTAAAGGTCAGAGGACTGTGGCCAAAGGAGACCACTTCAGAGCTGAAGATTTTAGAAGTGGAGAGAATGCATTCTGGACAAAGGTAAGGGCCAAGTTGTGACCATCCCTCTGAGAAGCTGAGGCAAAGTGAAAGCAAAGCCCATTGGCATTGTGGTCAAGCAAGGTGAAGCCAGAGTGGATATGGGAAGCCTAACAAGGAAGGAGCAAGGATGTCGAAGTTACTGAGGAAATGGAATGTGCCCAAACTAGGTAGAGAAACTTGATTAAAAAAACAAAAGCCCTGAGGAAAACGGGAGACTGTCTTGGGTTCTGGATGTCTGGGAGAAGTTGCTATAACCGAACGGCGCTGCCTTAGAAGAGTAGGGCAGACATAGATGGTCAGTAAGGCCGGTAGTGGTCTAGAAACAGAAAGTTGTCCAGTAAGTTGGATTGTCGGAGCAGAGTGGACTCCGCCTGAGATGACTGGGAAGGATAGGGCATAGGATGTCAAAGTCAGGATTTAGTTTATTCTGGAAGGAGAAGGAACGTTTGAAAATGTGGGGTAGTTGAACCCTCTTAGGACACATATGATAGAGGATATAGCACATACTGGTGGCTGGAGGCCATGTGGGCCTGGAGATGGGAGGAGGAGCTGGACTGGGATGAGCTTGTCCAAAGCTGACGTTGAATTCTGGGAGTAGGACAGTACTTACTGATGAACAGGATGAGGGGTGATAATGATGAAAGGTGGAGGCATATGCTAATAGATAGAATAGCTGGAATATAATCGCTAGTAACTGGAATGCCCACGTGGAATGTTAGTGTGACCAGTTGGAACCCCGGCATGACCAGTTGGAAGGGTTATTGGAACTTTAGTATGACCAATTAGAACATTGTCCTTGTCAGCTGGAACATTGGTGTGACCAATTAAAACAGCTAGAGGGATTTTGGCAAGAGTGGAAAGAGAGTAGATTCTTAGTTTTCAAGAGAGGTACATTCCAAGGCTTTTTTTTAATCCCACCAACGCAGTGTCATGAATGCTAGTTAGTAGACACACTGCATCTTAGGATACTCAAGCACTCAGTGGGCTGTGTTTTTAATGGTCATAGCCCTAGGCCTTGACATCTGGTAGATATTTAAAAACATATTTGTGGAGTAAATGATTAAAGTCTCATGGAAGAATATCTTCTCAGTGTCAGTGCTCCAAAGCAATTGTCTCATGGACCTTGATTTGTAGAATTACTCCTCTTTCTCTTCACATTGGTGGCTGGAAAGCTCATGTACACAGTATGGTCCACCTCTAGCAGTCACAGAACTTTAGGGTAGGCGTTTTATACCAACTGTGGCTCTGGCATTAATTTCTTTTCCTACCTGCTTTGATTTTGTTGTTTTACATTTTAACTCAAGTTGTCCATTTTTCAAACTGCCTCAAATCATTTTTGGAACAAAGCAGGTATATGAAAGGATGGAGAGAGAAACACAGAATGAGGTGGTGGAGGCAGAGGGGAAGGGGTAAGGGGGGAAGGAGGGAGGAGGTGGGAGTGAGTAGGTGGTGTCAGGGAGGATTGCATCTGAAGATAGCCTTAGCACCAGGCCCTGGTAAAAAGTGTATGCTCAACAAAATCTTGGCAATTTGAGGGGTGCCTGGGTGGCTCAGTCAGTGAAGCGTCTGCCTTTGGCTCAGGATATGATCCCGGAGTCCCAGGATCAAGCCCCACATCAGGCTCCCTGCTCATCGGGGAGCCTGCTTTTCCCTCTGCCCCTCATGCTACTCGTGCTGTCTCTGTCAGTAAATAAATAAAATCTTTAAAAAAAATCTTGACAATTTGAGTGGCAATTTACTTGGCTCAGTGAATATTTGTTGATGGGCTTTTTTCAGCATGTATTTTGTTATTTCCCTTACAATTCTTGGACTTCTTCCTTTGGGAAACAATGCGATACATTAGACAGAAACGAGTTTTGGAGTCAAGCAGACTCTGGTTTGAAAATTGACTCCGCTGTTGTTGAGTGGCGTATGTCTTTGGCCAAGACAGGCCGGTCTCTGGGCCTGGTTGCTCATCAGTAAATTAGGATACTATTTACTGTCAAATCACTAGGAAGGTTTATTGAGAGCATGTATGCAAAGTACCCGGCGGGGTCTGGCACAGAGACACTCACTGAATCTATGTGTCTTCTCTCCTCCCCCGTCCACCATTACACACATTTATCTGGCAGACTCCTTGTGACCCAGTAGGCTGCAGTTCACCCATTGAGTGCTGCTGCATCTGCCCTATATGCTGGCTTCAAGTCGAGCTGAAACAGGAACTGCCCAGTGCTCAGTGGGCTCATTTTGCTGAACTTCTAGGTACTCGTCCCCTCAGATTAGCAGATAGATCATTTGTACCTTGGCTTTCTGAGACCCTGAGACCCTTAGCCTAGGAAACTCTGTATTCCCAGTTAAAATCCCTGTCCTGTGTGGTTTGGTTTATGGTCTGAGGACAGTTCAGAATATGCGCAATCATAACTGTTGATCACCATTCTGGTACTGGGGTTGGGTTGCCCAAGAGAATATAGACTATTCATCCTGTGACAGGGTAGTGTATCTTTTCTGGCTGCTCATTTGGCTGGTTAGTCTCCGAATCTCCATATTATAGTCTCTTTGCTGGGAGCTGCCTATCCAGTGTCTACCGTGTGCCCAGATTTGGGAGCTCATGGACCATCGCCTTTTGCCAGTGGAGAAGTGTTGCCCCTGGACTTTGGGGAATGCTCATGGTTTTTGAGGTCCTTCATAATCCCTAGTAGTTTCCAGTAGGTATTTTGTCTATCACCTTTGTTTTTTGTCTTATTTATGCTTATTAAGTGTATGTATTAATGGCGGGTTGTTGTCTACTGCTGTTCCAGTGATGGTAGGACTTATAACCTCCCCTAGTCCAGCCTTACAGTAAGGAAAGAACAGTTTTCTCACTTAATCCCTTAGTGGCTCAGAAAGCTTCATATCAAATAGGCTAGGAAAAATCCATATCACATAGATAAGATTCTAATCATTCAATAAATACTCATTGAATATCTGCTTTATGCTCTAGCTCTCTCCTAGGCTCATTGTAGTGAAACCTTACAATGAGATTTGTTGAAGATGTGGGCTGTAAGCCCAGGAGGTGATTTGGAATCCTTGGTTTTGAAAAATATATTGTTAAATGTAAGCTTGATTTTTTGTTTGTTTTGGTTGAGAGGACCTGCTGGTTTGCCTTCAAAATAGAGATGGAGAAATTTAGTTCTTTGAGCAAAACTATCCATTTTCTGTACTTGGAAATAATGATTTCCAGAGGCAAACGTGTTTTTGAGAGCTATAGTTCACATCATTTCTCAGAGCACAGTGGGTAGCAGCAGGGGCCGTGCTCTCCCTGAGTAACTCAGAAGCAGCCCAGGTCCATCCCTATTAGACCCGTGGCTCACATGCAGGAGTCCAACTCTGTTGTCCAACATACAACATAGAGATTGCCTTCTGCACTCTGGATGGAGCTTCAGTTGCCCTTGTTACCATGGAGACTGTGATTTCGAGATCTGGTTTTGCTTGCAGGAGCTGCTAAGCCGCACATCTCTTGAGACCCAGAAGCTCGACCTGATGACTGAAGTTTCTGAGCTGAAGCTCAAGCTGGTTGGCATGGAAAAGGAGCAGAGAGAGCAAGAGGAGAAGCAGAGAAAAGCGGAGGTGAGTGTGATACACCAAATTCTGGGGGGGATCCATAGTGTTCTAAACTCAGAGCAAGGGAAGCTAGCCTAATGTGGACTCAGGCCATCTGGTCAACCCCAAGCCTGGCAGCCACTGGGTGCCAGAAGCATCTGTGCACTAGAGACACAATGATCTGTTAACACCAAGTTATCAGGTTTTGCTATGGCTGCAAATTTCAGCAATGCCCAGACCACCCCGTTTGGGCTCTAAGGCTTTATCCTCCCTCAAGCTGCTGACAAGGATGGAAAGGGGGGAAGGATCAGACAAGATGTGAAGGGACCCAAGTTGTCCTCTGTGAGAGCCAAGGTAATGACCGTGTACTGGAATGAAGTCCGCTGCCCAGTAGGGCACTGTCCCCATATCAAAGGAGTGTATTTCACGGACCCAGATGGGACTCTTAGATTATGTGTTTCTTTTCTCCTGATAGGTCATAGGAGGGAGCCCATGTAATGTTTTCCTGCATTTTTCCTGTTTTTGTTTCAGGCTCCATATCCCATTGGCCTGAGCATGCCAGACTCCTTTTTGGGATAAATATTTTGGTTAAATTCTAGGCTCAGAGCTGCTTTTGTTGAGAGAGAATATCCTGTTGTAACCTTAGATAACCACCTTCCATGTACTTCTACCTATAAGTCCCCATATTTGCACCTGGTGATATAAGATGTGGGAAGAAGATAGGCTTTAGGTTTAGAAGGACCTTGGTTCAATTACTGACCTAACTGCTTAATAGGTCTTTGAACTTCATTCAACAACCTAAATGCTTAATTTCTCTGAACTTCAGTTTCTTTATCTGTACAATGGGTAACTGTGTGAAGCCCAAATCAAATCACAAAAGTTAAGTCCCTATCATAGTATCTGGCATAATGTAGGTACTTGGTTTATCTTCGTATACACACACACACACGCACGCACGCACACACACACACACAGAGACACCACGCACTGATTTAGAAACCTCCAAAATCTAAAAATGGATCTTGTTCCTTTCTATTAAGCACCACCTTTAATGTGCACTGAAACCTGCCCTGTTTCTGTGTTTATTGGGTAAACACTGATGATAGAGACACTTGTGGGCAATTCCATGCATTGCTTTTGAGAAGCTGTTCGTTGGTAAGTAGTGTTGCCAAAGGAACTCTCCATTAAACTGAAGACTGTGTCTTCTAGTGATTAAGAGTGTAGGCCCTCCAATCAGCTCTTCCAGCTGTAATGCAAGCTGAGCTACTCATTAGCTTTGAGATCTTAGGCAAGTAATATACCCTCTGCTTCTTCCTCTGTAAAATGGAGGGAGTAAGCTTGGGATTTCCTGGCTGGTTCTGAGGAGGGAATAAGATCATGTGTGTGTAGTCCTTAGCATAGTGCTGGACACATAGTAACAGCTAGCTTTTATCAATTACTTACATTTTGTGTCGTTAAGCATCCTGCAGATGGAAGTGTAGATTAAGATACATTGAAAAACTGCAAAGGTCACGCAGACTGAAAGCTTATCTGGGTGAAGTGTTAGTTGAATAGACTTTGCTTCTTAAATTCAAGGAAAGGAAAAAAGGAAACTGAATTTTCTCCAGGTTTAGAGGGGTTTTTTTGTTGTTGTTTTGTTTTGTTTTTACCACTGTTTCAAGCTGTGTGATTACATGTGAACATATGTTGAGGTTCTGGAAGCAGAATTCAGTAAACTCTGAGAAGTCTTAAAGTGGTAGAGATAACTCAAAACCACTTAAATTTTTTTTTTTAAGATTTTATTTATTTATTTGAGAGAGAGAGAATGAGAGACAAAGAGCACTAGAGGGAAGAGGGTCAGAGGGAGAAGCAGACCCCCTTGCTGAGCAGGGAGCCTGATGTGGGACTCGATCCCGGGACTCCAGGACCACGACCCAAGCCGAAGGCAGTTGCCTAACCAACTGAGCCACCCAGGCGCCCCAAAACCACTTAAATTTTTAAAAAATGACTAAAGGTGGGAGGTTATTAGGTCACACAACTTGACACGTCTAGGGTTTCCAGGTGACCTCACGATGTCATTGAAATCAGCCTTAGTGTATGTCTTGGTTCTGCTTTAGCCTTATTCTCAGGAAGTCTCCCCGTGTGGTGACACAGATGGCCCCCAGCAGCTCTAGGTCCCACCAGCTGGGCAACCCCTGCAGAGAGAGAGTCTCTTTCTCAAAGGTCCAGTAGAAGCCCCAGGGTTGCCTCTCATTGGGCCACTTTGGGTCCACATGCCTGATTCTGAACTGTAGGGAGCATGTGGGTGGGTGTGAGTCCTTCTTACCAACCTGGGACAGCTGAGTTCCTTTCTGGAGAAGACAGGATGGAGGGAGAGCTCCCACTTCTGGGCCAAGTATAACAAAAGCAAGCAGTCATTTTGCTCTTTGCTTTATTTTTTCTTTTCTGAGGGATTATGTTTCAATCTGAATTTTTTGTTTTTGTTCCATTAGGCTATTCATGCCTGAGACAACATGGGCTCTGAGCCGCTGGCCTCAGTCCTGCCAGATAACAGCCCTTCCCAGTTGCTAGTACAAACATTAGGTTTCTATGTGGAGAAATTTTTTTAGGCTGTTCAACCTGTGATACTCCGTGAACAGCCACATGACCTGAAACGCAGTTCTCCTTCTTAGAACTGAACATAATCTTTGCTGGTGCGCTCAGAGGCTCTGCCACTATTTGCAGCTCTCTGGAGCACCAGAGTCTTAAAACCCCGGGGGTGCTGCCCACCACCCCGTTGTCATGTGCGTGGACATGTTCGAGGGGGGCACTTAGCTAAGATCACCAGAGGCTGCATTTACATGAATAAGGGGAATGCTGCTTCCCAGCCTGCACTGCTCCTGGGTTTTTTCCAGTGAGTATACTTAGCCCAAGGCCTCATGGCTTGTGGTTTGGAAAGGCAGGGTCTTTCTCTTTGTTTTGTTTGTTTTCTGGGATAGCTGGATCTGAAATTTCCTCTATGCAGTTCAGGCTTTATCCTCAAATTCTGTTTTGTTTCATGAAAATTAAAAAAGGATGCTGTTAACAAGAGCATTGCAGGCTGCTTTTTTCTGTCTGACTCTGATTCCCCCCTAAGCTTGTATCCTGCTGCCTGTAGAAAGTTACGGAAGTGATTCTAGATGGTTGTCTAGAAACCTGAGGACTTCGAGGTGCAGGTTTCTTGCCAAATCGAGACCATCCTGGCAGCTGGCCTTGCTTAGGAGTCTGTCAATGAGATGTGGGTGAAAACTGGGTTTTTTGTTTACCTTTCCTTGTGAGCCTTTTGCAGTGGTTCTGGGTCATTTCAGGAGACCCAAGCTTGGATTAATTAGGTTTACTCCTGAGAAGCAGGACTGCAGAGGAATGCTGCCATGGAAAGTAAATACCAGAATTAGGGGGATGGAACATAAAAGAGCTGGAGGCAAAGGGAAACCTCTGGATGGCACACCATATCACAGGCATGGCCTTCGGGAGGCATCTTCCTTCGAGAAGGGAGTCTGGTTTCCCTTAGCACTGGAGATGCAGGGGGTGCTGCAGCTGGATCCCTCTGTGGTGGGATCCAAGAGGTCTGCATGCAGTACCAGAGCATCCTGTAAAGAAGGGAGCAGGGATCCAGCAGGTCCTGGAAAACAGAGTCAGCCCAGTTAATCAGAGGTATACGCAAGTATGAAGAAGAGAACCAGGAAGAGTCTTTCGGATTTCTGGCAGAAAACAGAATGTCTTACAGCATGGGTGGTGGTGTCATCCTTCTTCCTTCCTGTGGTTAGTTAGCACCTCGGAAGGGAGGGATTCTGATTTCTGAGCTGGGGCAACCAGAGGGTTGGACTTGGAGCTCAGAGCAGGGGCTGAGAAGGTGGTATTTGCTCCAGCAAGAGCTGACCTGAGAAAGAAAATCTTACGGTTTTTATTTTATTTATTTTGTTTTATTTACTGATTTTTATTAGCATGGGCAATACACTCCAATGGTTCAAAAATTAAGGGTTCATAAAGGTATATGCAGCAAAAAGTCCCCTTCCAGGCCCCCCAAGCCCACCGTCAGGAACCACTGAGATCAGTTTGTTTGTATCCTCCCAGAGTTAAGCACGGACAAGCAAATTTATGTGGAGAGATACACACACACACACACACACACACATTCTCTCCCTCATTTTTTGTACACATGCACACTACTCTAGACCTCCTAATTTATTTATTATTTTTTAAGATTTTATTTATTTATTTGACAGACAGAGAGCACAAGCAGGAGAAGCAGCAGGGAGAGGAAGAAGCAGACTCCCCGCTGACCAAGGAGCCCAATGTGGGGCTCGATCCCAGGACCCTGAGATCATGACCTGAGCCAAAGGCAGATGCTTAATCGGCTGAGCCACTCAGGCACCCCTAGACCTTCTAATTTAGCACTTTGGGAGTTTATTTCATACCAAGTACATTTTTTAAAAAACGTATTTATATTTATATCTGCATATTATTTCATTATCTGACTGTACCCTAATTTGTTTGATCTATCTTCTTTTGATGGACATGTGATTTCCAAGTCTTTGTAATTACAAAGAACGCCTCTGTGCACCTGAAATTTTGACAGATATTTCCACGTTGTCCTGTGGAGCATAGAGATTATGTACCCATCAGTGGTGTGTAAATGCCAGCCCAGTATTAAACTGAGCATGAAGAAAGAGAAAGAAAAAGAACTAAGTAAAATTGTGAGCAAGTTTAACATGTAGGAAGGGGTAGGGAAGACCATGATTATGGGAGGTGCCCAATGGTTTCACATAGAAAAGAACCGTAAAGAAGAACTTTGATGGTTAGCGAAGCAGGAGTAATAAAGCCAGTTGAGGGTACAACACAGAGTGGCAATTAGAACCTCAGAAATGTCACCTGGAATTTATAATGCAGGACCCAAGAATGGGACACAGCTACAAAAGGGTCTGCCCTATGGGGGAGAAACAGACCTGTTAAGAGGGGAGGTGGGCCAGCCCTGGAGAGAAAGAAGTCTAAAAAATGCTGAGCCTGAGGAGGGACGCCCTGGAGCATAACACATGGGTCGGGAGAGTGAGAAGGCAGTGTCCCAGAAGTGTTGGGGTGCACCACATAGTCTCCCTGAGCCGAGGAGGAAGATAGGTGCACCCTGATACAGATCCCCAGACACATGGAGATGGGCAGGGGGCGGTGGTGGAGGGGGGCAGCTGTTTGCCTAGTTCCCAAAAATCTCCTCCAGCTAAACACTTAAGTATTGGCGAGGTTGGCTTTTGGTGCCCAAGCCTTTGCTTCTTTCTACCCAGGATGCTGGGAAGCTGCTGCTCGGGCTGTATGTTGCAGCAAAGGAGAGACTAGTTTATGAGGGCGCAGTGTCGGGTGCCTTGAGAGAGAGCGGCCGTTGTGCTGTGAGTCCATGAAATCGCGGGAGGGAGAGCCAGGCATAGACACACGTGCACCGCGGGCTTTGGCAAATCAGACCTTTGAAAGTTCAGACATAACACAGAAGATGATTCAAGAATATTGACTTTAAAAATAATGTGATTTCTGACTGCAGTCTCACAAATAATACCCACGAAAGGAGAAGCTTAGAGGCACGCAGGGAGAAACTAGTTTTCAAAGGGGCTCGTATAAAAGCTAGAAAGGACCAGACAGAGTGCACCTGCATGAGCAGCACCAGCAAGGGCAAGCCCCAAACAAAAGGAGGGTGCCAAGGATGGGAAAGAGACTTTTTGTTAAAGTTATGTTCTCCCGAAGAAGATCAAAGAGAGAATGGGCTCAATTCTCCCGATGCCTCTGGTGCAAAGAACTTAGGGCAGCGGTCCCCAAACTGCTTGCTGTAAATGAATTTTAAGGTATCAGGGAAATCGGTTGAGTTGCTAGCAAACTGGAAATGAACCATTATCTGCCTGCCCCTCCCTCCCCGCAATGGCAAAGTTAACCTAGGTTCTGTGACATTTAGTCTGTTGAGGCTGGAGTTGACCCTATGATGGTTTGTGGGAGGCTAGGAGATGAAGTAGGGATTGTGTTTGTTAAGAGCGAGTTACATCAGCTTGACCTTGCGTGTTGGGCCAGGAAGGCATCGTGTAGGATAGACAGGGTAAACGCACACTTTGAGAGGCATTGCACACACACTGCTCAGGGAGTCTTGTGGGTGAGCTGGAGGAAAATAGGATGGATGCTAAGATAGGTACCCAGGTGATAATAGCACCTAGAGACTATCTCTAGGAGGGTTTATTATAGAGGGTGATAGTCCTCTGCCCTCAGCCCTCCTGCCTATTTAACATTTTTAATGTATACTGTGGAAGCTGATCTAGAAGGTCTTGAAGCTCTGATGATGTGAAGCCAAAGAAAAGTCAACTGGATCAGCTGACATTGGGATTCATAAAAACCTGCATAGACTGGAGCAATCGCTAGGTGGGCGGAAAAGGGTAAAAGAGGTCAGAAGAACCCAAGTCATCGAAAATCACTAACGGTAGGGAAAGAAACACTTCGCTTGAAGACAGGAATATGCCTGTGATTTGACCAGGAAGAGGACCCTGAGGAAGAGAGGTGCCCCTCGTGGTGGAGACAGAGCTTGTCTGCCAGGAGGCAGGGGGCAGGAATGAATGGGGTGATGAAATCAGACAGCAGGTCTAGACTCTTCATTTGAGAGTCTTAATAATAGAGGGAACAAAAGAAGAAAGAGGGCAGTGAAATTCTAGAAGCTTCTATAAGAGAGACAAGCAGGTCTAAAGACAAGAGCAGGGCCAGTGCACAAGGGACTAAATAAAGATTCTGGAAAAGAGTGGCCAATAAGGTGAGCATGCCGGGGAGTGCAGAGCCACTGGGCCTTTTTTGTCCACAATCAATATCATGGGCCTTAACTGTGTCCCATGACTGTTAGGTGTTTTCCGTTGCTCTCCCAGTTCCTTTCCTATGGCTCGAACACTTGGCAAAGGAGAAGTTGGGGTCGGGGGGAGGCGAACTCACATCTATCAGGTGCACCCTGTGTGCCAGGCCCCGTGCCAGGTGCTTCACCTAGGGCTCACTTGATTAACCCCTCACGGTAACCCTCTGAGAGAGACTCTCGTTTTCACAGAAGTGAAAATGAGTCTGCATGAGTCTTCAGCCTGCACACTCGCCTGCGTCATGCCCGTGCTCACCGTGGCCTAGCTGCCCATAACAGGCTGACCTCCCTCTTTGGGGAGGTAAAGGCTCATCATTACCTTGAGGGATTGCTTTTGGCTCCATCCTTGATTAACCTGCCATCCTTCCTTCTGCCCCAGGGCTCTTGGTTAGAGGGTTAGATGTAAAATTTTTTTAAAAATTACCTCCATGCTAATGAATCGCCAGGTGCATCTACCCCCTCCTTAGTATTGCTTTTATCCACACCTACCTTTCCTCTTCTCATGCCTCATAGTGACCATTCTAAATCTGTGCCCCCTGTTTCACTGCTGTGTCCTTTGAGAAAGCAACCTTGCCTGCTTTACAGAGATCAAGGCCATTGGGAAGATCTCCTTCACCTTGCTGTTGCTCGTCTAAAGACTGCCTGGACCCTCAGCATTCCCTTTGTGCTTAGCAAATACCCAAACTGGGCTGCTAATTCCAGCACCTTTCCTCCCTCTTAATTCCTCCTGTCCAGCTTCTTGGTCCTCATAGTAGTCTTGGAACCTACCTGCTAAGTGGTTAAAGTACCAAAAGACTTTGAGACTTCTCAGAAGAAAAAGCATGAACAAACTGAAGGTAGACCACCTTTCCCCATTGACCACCTCCCAGTGGTGGCCAAGTCCATGGGCAGTAGAGACAGAGCTGGCCTCTGATGCCTAGTGGCTCAGGCTAGTCAGGCGGGAATCCTCTAGCTCTGTCAGGCATATGTCCTAAGTCAGCAAGGGGTCTGGAAGCCAGTGGCACATGGAGAACAGGCCAAGTCAGAGCCCAGTGTCTGCACTGGGACTGTGGATAAGAACGCAGAGGGCAGGTGTGGCCCCAGCCCATTGGCGCCTGGCCCATCAGGGTGCAGGGACCAGTAACTGTGGGGCTGGGTGGAGGTCTGAGCTCCAGGGCACTGAAGCCCATAAGGGTCACCTTGATTGCTCAGCCCAGTCTCTGGTCTTGGTAGGAAGGTGCCTTGTTCGACAGACGGTCCTGGGGGAAGACAACCGGAGCTGTGTGGGGACCAGTTGAGGGGGGCTGGCTCACAGGGAGAGTGGCTACGGGGCCAGGGGCCTGCTTCTGCCGGCCAAGACTGCAGCGCAGCCCTCGGTCCAAATGGCACCAGCAGAGAGGAGAGCAGGTGCGTCAGCTTGGTGCCCTCTCAGCCCCGAACTGCCACTCACACCCCGTTTCCCGTCTACACTGGAGAAGGGGATTTACAAAACAAGGTATGGGTGGGAGTTGTTCTTCTTAGACACCATTGTCATTGGTGAGGATGGACAATTTCCTTCTAGCACACCTGGGCGGTTCCCATGGTGCCCGCGGCAGACCCCAGTACCAGACGCCGGTGCTTAGAGTATCAATTAAGGGGGGCGGGGAGACCTAAGCAGTTTCATTGGCTGCCACCCCATCCACCCAGGTCTCTGCTCTGTTGCCAAGTGTTTCCTTAAGTCCACATCTCCGTGCCAGAGGCAGCTCATAGCTTCCCGCAAACTCTCAGGGTTCTTGCTGCCAGAAGTGGGACCATCATCTACCACGTTACCCAGGCTCATGGCTCGCTTTCTCCTTTACTCCCACCCCTGGGCAAGGAGTCCGGCATGTGCCTGCTTGACATCACGTAGACTCATGCCATCCCTTCCTCTTGACCCCAGCAGAACTAGGCCCTCTACTCCCTGGAATCCCTGTGTTTTCTGGGTGGTGGCCCTTTCAGCCTGTCGTGATGACTTGTGTGTCTCTCCCCACTCACCTGTGAGCACCTAGTTACTGTGGCCGTGGGCATCTGCACGGTGCCTAAGTATCTATGGGGCAGAAAAGGGAGAGCCCGGTAGAGCTGCTAGCAAGTGCAATTCACAGTTGAGTAGCTATGAAGTCCGGGGATTGCAGTTATTTTTTAAAATTGCCATAAAAGGCCAAAATGTTCTTGAGGCTACAAAGGAGTCTGGTTTGGAGTGGGAGGTGAAGGAGTAAGGTTTGGTATAGGGTGTGAGGGAGAGTTTAGGTGGCCGTGTTAGCATCGTAAGTGTGGTGTGTGCTTGTGGGGGTGGGGCTGGCACCTGTAGCGTGTGTAAGAGGGGACGGGTCTGCATGCATGCCCCTCTCTGCTGTGGCCAGGCCCTGTGCCTCAGTGTTGGCACGCAAGTGTGGCCCCCCAGTGGGGCACTATGGAGCTGCTGGGGGGTTGTTCAAGCTGCAAGACAGCCCCGTTGATGGGACAGGTCTCAGGAAAAATGCCATGTCTTTTGGTTCCTGTGCAGAAAGTGGGTGGTCACCCCTGGGGGCCACCTGCTGCTCGCCCTCTGCATGCTTCCTTCTTTCTGGGTCGCTCTGGTGAGGAGCTTTGTGTCTGAGAGCTGACTGACCCTGAGTGCCTTTTCTCCTTTCTCTTCCTTCCTACAGTCAGTTCTGAATGTGATCAGTGAGCTGCAGGAGCAGATGTGTAGGCTGCAGCTGGACATCCACAGGCAGATCCAAGAGCGCCTCTTACTCAGTAGGGGCTACCCAGAGGAGGTGGCGCCCGGTGACGGTGCTGCCGAGCCCCCGCCCTGCAGCCAGGATTGTGCCTGTTGGGAGGGGTCACCTGTAGGAACCACACTTAAGTATATCAGAGCATGTGGGGGGGGGGGCATTTCATGGATGGAGGGGCTGGGGTTTCTCCTAACCACAAGTGCGTGCAGTGGCTTAACATGGCTTTGTTGTTACCTCTGGGCTGAGCTCTGTGACCCTCACTGACCAGGGTCTGAGCAGGTGAGGCCAACCCTCGGACAGGTGGTGGCACTCGTCTTCCTTGGCTGGGAATGAGGTGTGTCAGATGCCCTGAGGGATGGGGCATTCATGCCAAAGGAAACCTCCAGAGTCCCCTTCCCAGGTGTCATTCAGATACCAGTTCTCCTCCTGGGCTGGGAGATTGATTAAAGTTCCAATTTTTTAAAGATTTTGTTTATTTGAGAGTGAGAGAGAGAGAGAGCACAAGCAGGGTTTGGGTGGGGGGAGAGTCAGAGGGAGAAGCAGGTCCCCTGCTGAGCAGGGAGCCTGATACAGGGCTGGAGCCTGATACAGGGCTTGATCCCAGGACCCTGGGATCATGACTTGAGCTGAAGGCAAATGCTTAACTGACTAAGCCACCCAGGCACCCCAGGATTTTTTTTTTTTTAAGAAAACATAGCATCATGAAAGAATCCTTTCAAGTTTATTTTTAAAGAAGTTGATCCGCAGTGAGAAAATAGAACACAAGTTTCCATTTGCTGTGACAGTGAGGTCATGATCTGAATGTCTAGGAAAAATTTCCCACATAATCACATTAGAGGGCTTTCACAACCTCTGGGCCCTCTGGGGTGTATCTGACTGATGTCCTGGACTTGGCCCTCCCACTGGTGAGACTGGGTCCCGTGTACCCTGGCTGGGCCTGGTGATAGAAGCTGCATGGAGATCACCTGTGCCCCCAAGGCCTGCTGTCGAAGAGGACTTGAAAGCCTGAGGGAAGGTCAACGTCACAGTAGCCCTGAGTACTGCAGAGGGTCTGCCTCGGCTCTGTGGGAAGTTACCACGATCCATACTCAACTGTGGAACATGTGGAAACTCTACCCAGACTCAGGCATTAGGGGAGGAGCTTGGGGGCAGGGGGATTGAGGTTGGGGGGAGATTTCCTCCTACATTAAATAAAATGATAAGAGGGGAAAAAAATGAGAGTCCAGATATAAGTGTGCATTTGGATAGGGAAGTGCTGAGAAGGTTCTGGGCCTGCCCCATGTTGAGTGGGTCACCCCAGAAAGATGTCTAAAAGAGGCTAAAATTTGCACTAGTGTTTATAGCCGCTGATGGGCAGCAGACAACCTAGAAAGAGGAGGATGTGCCGAAGAGGTCACCAGAGCCTGGCCGTGTCGTGCTCTATGTCCCCTGGAGGCGGCCTCTCAGGCAGGGCCAGAAATGTGCTCCCCAAACCATCCTGGATCAGCTGCAAGTCCCACCAGGCCTTAAAGTCTAATGCTGCAGGTCATGGGTGCAATGATTTTAGCTTGGAAGACATTTTTTTAAAAGGGCATCAACAAATGTTTTCCTTAGCTGTAAGAAAATCTTGATGAATTACCCTACAAAATTCAAGGGTAAGCAGTGTAACTTTTAGGCGGATGGTCTCAGCTCTAGGCCAGTTAAATGCTGAACTGAATTTCACATGTTCGTTCATCAGGAAGTAATGCATACTTACTGTGTGCCAGAAAGGAGCAACACAGAACACAGACTTGGAGTTAGCCAACTCCTCAAGGAGTTCACGGCTTCGGGGGAGAACTAGCCCTTAGCAAGCCTACCAGTAAATGTCCGATTGCAAATGATGTAGGAGAGTTCCAGGGTGCCCCGTGGGAGTGTAGCCAGGGGGCCTGATGAAGTGTGGAGGCCTGAAGGATCGGCGGGGATTAACCCAGCAGACAGCTCCAGACAAGAGGGAGCCGTGTGTATGAAGGCCCACGTCGAAAGGGGAACTAAAAAGTAGCCAGTGTGGCTGGTGCGTCACCGGGGGGAGGGTAATTCAGGCTGGGCAGTGCTGGCAAGAGCTTATGAGTTTTGAGGAGCAGGGGAATGCCAGGATCAGAGGTGTGCTTTCATCGTGTTGTTCCCCTGGGTGCTATGGGGGTCAGGGGCTCCAAGAAGGACAAGATGACAGGAGCAGGCCCTGGAGAGACTGCCTGGGCTGTGGACAAGAGCTGCTAGGTCAGAGTTGGGGAGAAAGGAGAGATTCCTTTCCCTGGAGGTAGAATTAGCAAGGCTTGGGGATGCATTAATCAGTGAGGGAGAGCAAGGTGCCAAGGATGGGCCCCAGGTTTCTGGCACAGGCGGGTAGGTGTATGGAGATGCCATTTAGTGGCACGGGAATGTCTACAAGGGGGAATTAAGTGTTCCATCTGGGCCACGACCGTCGTGAGATGCCTGCGTGGAGGTGTTAAGTAGGGAGTCTCTGGAAATCTGGAGTTCAGAAAGTCTGGAAGTGATGACTTTCAGGCTAACTTTTCTGATAGGAACCAGTCAGCAGGACCAATTGTCCGTTAAAGGAGCCTTGGTTTGGGACAAGGGTACTTAACAGTGTCATCTTTGCTAAAGGGGTAGTTTGGAGAGCAAGGGCCCTGTAGTCAGAAGAAACAGACTTGATTCACCATGGGCAAGTTGTTCAACGATCCCTTCCTCATTCAGCAACCTTCAGTTGCTCCCTACTGGCCAAAGAATGGCATCCAAGCTCCTTATAGCCTCATCCAGAGCCTTCCCAGTAGGGCCTCACCTTATCTCTCTGGCCTCACTTCCCACTGCATGCCACCCATCCTCTGCCCCAGTCCAACAGCCCATCTCCCTTTCTGCCTCCTGCGTCTGCCTTCTGCTGGGATGCCTTCTCCCTCCTTCCTTTCTTCAAGTGGACCCATTCCCCTGCCCTGGAATGCTCAGACTGGCTCTATATTTGGCATTTGGCCTCTTAGTGTTTTCTGTCCTGTTGGTTATCCCTTCCTCTCTGGAGCCTTCCAGGGTCACACGCCCCCCTTCCAGGTTCCTCGACCTCCCAGCACAGAGAGATGCTCCCACCTAGCCTGCTTCCTGCTACTTTGTGTGAAGCTGCCTCATTTTTGCATCTTTGTTGCTCTCGCTCACACATCCTACCTGTCCTGGCCCCCACACCCTTGTGCATGATCTGGGCACACCCCACAGAGGACATGGATGTCAGAAAGGGACAGGCAGAGCAGGTTCTAAAAATAAGAACGTTTTCTCTTCCTGTGCCTGAAACTCCCTGGCTTCTGTTTTCTAATGGCCCAAACAGCTTTTCCTGAAACAGGACTATGGTTCAAGATTCGAACTGCAGTGCGGAGCATGACGCAGGTGCTCCTGCCCTTGGCATCCTCTGCATGAACCTAACCAGGGTTGTAGGTCCAGGGACTGTCGTGCTCTGTCACCATCAGAACTCTGTTTTTCTCCCTCATCCTTCTAGGAGTTACTGCAAGAGCTCAAGCACCTCAAAATCAAGGTGGAAGAGTTGGAGAATGAACGGAATCAGTATGAGTGGAAGCTGAAGGCCACTAAGGTACGAGGTGGTTCTGATGCTTTCAGAGAGTCGCTGAGGTCCACTGGGGAGGGTCTGTGTTCAAGCTCGGGGTTTGCCAAAGCCTGAGCTGGAAACACGCAGATTGACCCTAATGTGCACACACAGACAGCTTTGATCCAGAAGGCTCTTCACATAGGGAGAGCCCCCTGGGATTAGGCGCTGCTGGAGTAGCTGAGTCTCCTTCCTCTTGCTGTGCTCCATAGCACCCCTAGGCTGGCGTGGGACCAGGAAGGGGCTGTGAGCAAGTGAGAAGTCTTAAGGCAGATGAACGCCAATGTTATACTGGCTGCATCATTTTAAAAGTAGCAGTCCCCTTAACACTGTTTTTAAGTAATGTTTTTAAAGTAGACATGCTTTATTTTTAGCCTTGAATGCGTATTTTATATATATATAAATATACTTTATTGTTTTAACTAAGTCATGTTTCTATTGAACTGGGGGGTGGGGGGAAGAAACAGCCTTGGAGAAGCATTCCTGGGCGAGGGAGCCTCTGAACGCACATCTAGTATTTCACTAAGGTCTCTGCAGCGCCACCCAGAGGTGTTACCAGATTTTCATGTTTACTTCTTACTAGAGTTTTAAAAAATCCTTAAGAATATTCTTCACTTCTAGTTTGTAATTTTATTTTTTTCTGTAAGTTAACTTTTAATGACCATAAAAACAGTACTCATTATAGGGGATTTTTAAGTCATAAAAAATGAATAAAGATCACTTCTTCCCCCCCACCCCCGCCCCAGGAGCTACCATTTTTAGTATTTCCTTCTAGGAATTTCTCTTTGTGTCATGCTGTTAAAATTCTGAACATGATACTGAGATGTCTGCATAACCTGTTGTACAGAATGATTTTCTTCACCATTGTACGGATGAGGAAGCTGAGGCACAGAGCAGCTGAGTAACTTTCCCAAAATCTTACCAAGTCAGCACCAAACCCGCTTATCTACAGCCCTATTTTTATCTAAGGGTATCCTCGTATGTACGGTGCTTCCATTACTGTTCCAGGAGCAGTGGTTTTCTCAAAGAGCTCAGAACTTTCCGTCACAGGGTTCCACTCAAGCGAGTCCTGTCTCCGAGACGCCTCCGAAGTTGTACACATCGCCCATTAGGAAACCAGATGACTCTTCTTAGATCGCCAAAGCTCTTTGCCTTGACATATAGACCTTTGAGATACGACAGGTTATTTAGTAACTCCCAGGTGTGGGGCACCCTCCCGCGTGCCGGAACGCATCAAGTCTTTACCCGCTTTTTCTCGTTTTATCCATAAAATAAGCTAGTGAGGTCTATGAGTTTACTATCCTCATTTTAGTGGTAAGAAAACCAAGGCTCAGAGTGGCCATGATGAGGTTCCAGTCTGGATCTGTGTCATTCCAAAAACCACGCTCTTTTCCCTGTAAAATCCTGATTCCCTATGGTAAAAACCTGTACCGCTCTTGAAAGTTCTCTTCAGTTATCTGTGTAAAGCTTGTCAGTCCCTGCAGGCCATTCATTTTCCAGTGCAGCAGCAGCAGGGCATGCTCCCTGGGCTTAACGAGGCCGAGGATTTGCAGAGAGCTGGGGCGCCCCTCTGCCTGGCGCCAGTTTGCATGCCTTTGCCTTGGATCTCTTGCCACACAGCTGCGGCCTCAGCGGCCGTGGCAGGAGCATCCTTTGCCCTCGTAGTCAGGTAGAGAGCCTGTGGGCTGTTGTGGACTAGACTCCCCAGCTATGGGGACACCTGTCATTTCTGGCCCGTTCTGTGGAAATTGACACATGGGAGGTTGGGCCCAGGCACTTAATCTGTAGGGTTTTAAGTGATGACCTCCCCCAGAGGCAGGCCTCTGAGAGAAGAGACCTCCTTGTGCCAGGTGCTGGGCTCTGCTTCCGTGGGCCCACATCACTGACGTTCACCCTGGGTCCCACAGACGAGCACTGGGCATCTGGGCATCCAGATTCCTAACAGAGACCAGCTCTCACTCTGACTGCAAAGAAAGAGGAAAATGGTTGTGGGAGGTACAAGAAGGATTAGGAAACTGTCTTCTAAGAATAGTATGGTCCTTGTAGGAATGAGAGGAGTTTGGGACTGCAGGTCTCAAGGCTGAGGTTTTCAGAAGCCACTGACCCCGTTAGTGGTCAGCCATGGGCAGCGAGGCCCTCAGTGAGCTGTGGAAAGCTGCCGCGTGGCTGTGGGTCTCAGAAAGCCGTTTGACGTAGCGGGGCTTGGCTCCCTGGCCTCTGTGGGTCGGTACCACCGAGCAGAGGGGCAGTGCTCCATAGGACACTTTGGAGTAAGGAGATCCTACCTCCTTGTTCTTTACATGGTCATCTCTTTCCCATTTGGGGGATATCAGGGAAGGTTTACTCAGGGACCCTGAAGTGGGCTCAGGGAGCCCCTGCCCCCTAATAGTGGCCCCCATGTGTGCTAGTAACTCTGAAGCATGCAGGCCGCAGTGGGTAGCAGTCGGCTGTAGCAGTCGGCTTCGGAGCAGGTGGGGTTTGCATCCTGGGCACTGGTCCTGGTGTCTACCCAGAAGCAACATGCAGGGATATTGCTTCTTCCCGTGGTTTCCTGTGAGGAGTGAGTGAGGTTTGATGTAAGAAATCAGCGAGCACAGGGGCAGAGTGGGCGCTCCGTCAGAGTGTCCTGAAACCGAACGCAAGGCCTGTTGGGCAGAGGGGCCACCAACAGGCTCAACAGGCTCAGGGCTCGTCTGGTTACTTGAAATTGTTCGAGGTTAACTCCGGCCTATGTAGGGAAGGACGGCCCACTGCGTAACCTTGAGGCATGATGGGGGATGTGGCTGGGCTCCCCCACAGGAAGGGATGGCCAGAGGACAGGGCTCTGCTGTGTGTTGACAGGCTCCGGAGTTAGTCCTCACCCCCTTTCTTTGGTTGGATACTCAGAGAACTAGCTGGTTATCCACAAGGAAAGGAATATGATGAGAGGAGCCACAGTATCTCCTTGATTGGAGCATCTAGTGTCTACCAAGCATTAGGCTAATTTGTCCGTGACCATTATCTTACTTACTCTTCACCACAGCCCTATGAGGTAAATGCTATTTTCCCCGTTTCATAGATGAGGCAAGACTCGGAAAGGTTAACTTGCCTAAGATCATCCAACCAGGAAATGAGAGAATCCGAGTTTGGCTCCAAAGCCATTGTGCTCCGTAGGATGGGACCAACACAGTTCTGATCTTCTCATGAGTATGAGAAGGCGTGGACAATCACACCTACTGTTCTGTGTGAAATTTAACCTGCTCTGCTTAGTAGAGATGTGGGAACCACCCACTACAACGGTCCATGTACGTCTGTGTATGAATGTATGTATGCGGGTTTGTGGCTGTACTTACATGCTTTATTTGCAACAGTGTATCTGCTCAGCATATCTAGTATTTCACTAAGAAATGAAATGGGCATGAGGGTGAGCATGCGCAGGTGCCTGGAGGCTGGGCAGGGGCCCTGCCTATGCATGATGGGTGGGATAGTACTTGCAGGAGGAACTCTTGGCTTACTCCTTGTCTACCAGTAGTGGTTTGATTTCCACTATCCTTCCTGTACGGGCTGGGAAAATGAAAGATGCGTGCACTTGTCACAGTGATGTACATACATGCTATTGAATGAATCTCTCGGGAGAAGGAAGACCACAGCCAGAAAGAGAATATCCATCAGCAGCCCTCCCATTGCACACCATCCCAGCTTGTCAGGCCTCCGGGAGGATTGGGACTCAGAGGGCAGGGAAGGGGAAGAGCCTGGTCAGGAAGGAGGATGCAGGTGACCAGCCCAAGCTGTGGGCAGGGCCAGATTGACCAGGAAAAATGAGTGCCTTGGGCAGAGCTCCCTGTTGTGGGGAGGGCAGTAAGCGCCTCCCACTGCCCATCCCTGACACCTCTGCTCCTGACTTCCCGCAGGTTCTAGGACCCATTGGTCCTGGGCTGTGAATGACTTGAGGTCTCCATCACAGTCTGGTAGTCCCTCTGAGCTCCCGGGGATCTCTGTTGCTCTTTCAGGCTGAGGTCGCCCAGCTGCAAGAGCAGGTGGCCCTGAAGGATGCAGAAATTGAGCGTCTGCACAGCCAGCTCTCCCGGACTGCAGCCCTCCACAGTGACCATGCAGAGAAAGGTAACCGGCTAGGCTATGATAGGATGTGCTTGCCCCTGGGCCCCAAGCATGTGTGTCCATGAGTGCATATGTGTATGCCTGTGTGGGTAGGCATGCTGATGTGCGCGTGTGTCCTGTGTGTGTAAACATGTCCTAGTGAACAGATGCACATGGGTGTGTGTGCGCATGCGTGTGCATGAACGGGCCTATAAAGCACAGCTCTGTTGTAGACTCATTGCCATGAACTTCTCACATGTAGTCTGGTCACTGAGCTTTGTGCAGCTACCTCTGGAGCTCTTCTTTCACTTGGTTGAAAGGACTTGTTTTGTGTCATCCCCACAGGGGAGGCTTTAGTGATTCACTCACTTAATGAATGTCCGCCTGATACTCATACAAGGCCCTGAGGTCACAGAAACAAAGCAGTTATTTTTCATCCTTTAGATCTCAACTTCAGTGTTACCCCTCAGAAAGACCTATTCTGGCCACCCTACCTCAAGGAGGTGGCCCTCCCCCCCAGTCCTATTTTTCTCTAACTTGGCATTCTTCTTATTTCCGTCCTAGCACTTAACATGTATCAGGGCTGCATTGGGGGAAGTCTCTTGGTGTAGCCTGTTGTCCTCACTGTGGGGCCACGCCTGTGTCTATTCTCTTCAAGACCAGATCCCACAGAGCTTCACACAGCATTCAGCCGTGGTAGGCTCCTAAGAAATACTGAGTAAATGAAAGGATGGTGAATTGACCGTGATAAGTTAAAGTCTGCTGATTAAAAAGGGGAGGATGAATCTTCAAATCCTCTTATTTATACCTGTTTAATATCTACAGCTCTTCACCTGGTGTACAAAATGATCACACACCTTCCGACTTCTCCTCCTAACCCCAGGCTACAGAACAATGCTGGAGGAGGTTCTGTAGCCCTGGAGATTGGCCCCACTGCCAGGTCCCCAGTCAGCCTTAGCGCTGCTTCGCTTAGGTCCCTGGCTGGGGTGGGGAAGCCATGCAGCCCTGAAGGAATGACTCAGGCTAGAGAAGGAAATTAGTGGCCCATATGTTCATCCCTCCCCCAGCCTTCCTCAGTGTCTTCCGAAGCCTTTGAGCGCATCCCCTACCTGCCAAGGCTCAAGGTGGAGCCTGGGGCCCCCTAAGATAGCCTAGCGTCTCTGTGGTGCTTAACCTGAACAGAATGCTTTCTGTGCCCTGACTCTAGGCCAGGCAGCCTTCCCCTGCCACCCTATGCTTCTCTACAGTCCAGGCCTTCTAGTCCATCATCAAATAACTCTTGGAGCTGGTCCTTTGAATATTTGCTGCTCAAGTTGGGTTCTGCCCAAAGCACTGAGGTTTGCCAGTCTTCACATGGAGCTTACCACCCTCCTCCCACAAATGGGAGAGCTGCAGAGCTGATCTTGAGCTGCCAAGAGCCTAAGATAGTGAGCAGGCACTCTGTACTTGGCTCTGAAAATGAATCCCTATGCCTATTTACACAAAGTCCATAAATTTACCCTTCCTCTTCTTGTTGTAAGTGGGATGCCTGTACTTTGGTTCCTTTGTCTCCTGCGCTTTGCTTGCAGTAATCAGTTTAGGAATGGGGATAGGTCCTTGTTTTGAAACTCCAGCTATGTGACAGTCCCTAGGCCTAAATATTTAGAATGACCTTCAGCTCCTTTAGGCACTGGCCTTTGGCCCTGCAGACCAGTTGGGGAAGAAATCAAGAGTCCCTGTTTGGCCCAGAGTGAGAGCAGGCCATGGGTTGTCCACCACAGATGGACACAGGTACCTTGGCCCACAGGGAAATTCTATACGTTTATGAAATAAGATAGTTTTCCTTAACTGTAGAGTTTGTTTTAATATATTTATAGATGTGTCTAAACATTTGTTAGTCAGTTCTGACTATACCCTTTTAAATTAAGCCAAGTACCCAGATCTTTTACATAATCATTCTTTTCTCATCTTCATTCAGCTGTAGACTTTTTTTTTCTTCTTATTTTAAATTCACCTTTGCTACAATCCATGGGACTGTATTTCTCCAAAACTAGTTGGCAGCCCAGGTGCATGCCCACTGAAGTAATCAGTGATAAATGTCTGTATTCTTCAGAGATGTTGATTTTGAAAGATTTTGGGGTTCTTCTGTGTCACCTTTGAGTAAATGGTATTTTGATTTTTCCCCACTAATGTCTATAAAGAGAAGATAAAATACTAAGCTCATTCATTCGTTTAGCAGTCCAACAAATGTTTAATGAGACTGACGATTGCTGGACATCATCACAGGCTCTTAAAGAAGTAAAAGAGCCCGTGTGCGATTTATTCACAAGGAAAGTGTCAGCACTTAGCATGTAGGGATGGCTATCTGTGTTTACATAATTCTTCCTATACCTAAATTCTTTTAGACCAAGAAATTCAACGTCTGAAAATGGGGATGGAAACTTTGCTTGTTGCCAATGAGGATAAGGTAAGGGCAGCCCTGTTCTTCCTCTGCTGACATCTCCGGCTGTTCGGTCCCTACTGGTCTCTGATATTCTGGGCAGGGCCATGCCCAACAGGCCACTGACCCAGGGCTGTGTCAGGAGAATGGCTTCTGCCTCTTAGAGACTGAGCCTCAGCCACCTGTTTTTGGCCTTGATGCCTGGGAACTTGCCTAAGTGAAATCTCCCAGAGGCAGATTAAAGTAGTACCTGTTTGTGCTGGTGTGGGGAAAAAAAATACCACCACGGTTATTGCCAACATCATAACTGCTGTTTAGGCTCCTGGAAAAACTTGACAACAGTGCACCAGTCTCCTATGTGCACAGTCTGGTGGTAGACTCATCACGGAGACACTAGGCAACATGTGATGTGCTTAACCTCCTGCCTTCTGTCCTTCACATCTGATTCCTGCATAATCCTAGAGTAGCCTTTTCTTTAACTAGAGAGCACCTACCTGGGACAAACATCAGCTCTGAGGACCACAGCCCTGCATCTTATAGATGAGACTGAGATTCAGTGTACTTGAGGAGTTTTGTCCAAGGTCAGGTAACAGTAGGTATTGGAGCCAGGGTTCACCCCCTAGGCTGTCTAATGCCAAAATCTGTGTGGCCTCCCAAGCCCCCAGACCTTGGCTGAAAGAAATAATCTCCTCTGGGAATTCTATCTGTCTCGAAAGGAATCTCAGACTCCCCAGGAACAGGTGAGGGTACTGGATACACACGCCAGCTTTATTTTAATCTTTCTTTGTGTGTAACTCCAGAGGACAATAGTTGAACCGGGAGACAGATTTCTAAGGCTACCTCAGGAGGGTAGGGAGATAGTGAGCTTCCTGATCCAGAAATGTGTTCCTTAGGTTCCATGTAGCATCTCTTCTCAGTGTGCCCAGAACATAGTGTGGGCCCCACATGAAATCCTCGGAAGAGCCAGCAGTGGTGTTCATGTATAGTGTGTTCTCACTGTGACAGGACCGTCGGATAGAGGAGCTCACAGGGCTGCTAAACCAGTACCGACAGGTGAAGGAGAGGATGATGGCAACTCAAGGTGAGGGCAAGGAGGGTTCTGCCGTTTTCTCCCAGAGGTATTCCATTGACTGCATTAAACCCAGGGGCATTTCACCAGAAGGTTCTTCATCTTCATTTGGAGAAGATCCTCTGCTGGAGAATGGAGCTGGTTAGACTGTCCTGGATGGAGGGAAATTGGTAGCTGTTGATTTCTAGAAACTATGTCTGATGATAGTCCCGAGCTCCCAGGGACTAAGCAGATCATCAAGAAAATAAAGCCATCCGTGCGAGCTCTTGGGAATCCCCATGCTTGGATTCCCAGTATACCCCTTAGGGGCAGTGAATGCAGTCAAACCTCGACCAAAAATCAGTTCCATACCCTCATGGGGGATTAGAGCTTGTCCACCTCCTGAAGAATCTAAAAGCTCCCCCAGCAGATTCTCAGGGACTCAGGGAGCCTTGCTTGAGTCCCTGGGTGCCGGGGTTCCTCAGAAGGCACAGGGCAGGGAGAGCTGTCCGTGTTTCATATTGGCAGCCCGGGCTGAACGCACCGCGCATGCAGTGTTAGTGTTCATATGAGCACAGCAGTCCGTATGCCAGGCTGCCTGCCTTATCCTTCATGCCATTGACCTGGGCTCCTATCACAGTCTGGGAAAGCAGCTGCTTCACAGGAGGGGCCCGATCTGAGGGTATTCAGAGATCTCTCATTCTGGCTGAGCTTCTGCTGGCCCTACACACATATCACTGCCCTGTTCTCCCTCTTCCTTTGGTGTTTGGGGTCAAGTCAGAGCCTGATTGCTTGTGGCCAAGGAATGAGAAGGTTGGGGAGGAATACTAGGGGTTGCCTTCTTGCTGTTCCACACATGAACTTTGCCCTTGAGATGACCTTCATGGTCATGACAGCCCTTCTTCTGATGCCCTGAAGAATCTTATGAGTCACACTCTTAATGTACCTTTATATATTCCTTAGGCTTCCTTAATGAAGGAGAAAGACTTAGAATTTTGCATAATTACAGATTTCTGAACAACTCCGCGGTAGTGATCCCCCCTTCTGCATTAATGCTTCCAGGGCCTTCCGAAAGAACTCTCTCAATCAATGAAGAAGAACTTGAGGGAAGTTTCAGAAAGTGGAACACTGCGAATAAAGGCCCTGAAGAATTACTTAAACCAGAGGTGCTATGTTTCATCCATGCTGTGGGGTTTTGGCAGGCCCTAGGAGCTTACACTGAGCTTGGGGGAGGATCTAATCAGGTACCTGTCAGGTATAAATCTTGACAGGTGAGACATTAAATGGATGGAGTGACCCCCAAGGCCTTGGGGAGAACATTGTGGGTAGAAAGGGATCCAGGCACTGGCCTGTGTTCTGACTGGGAGGGGCAGCATCATGGATACTGGACTTGCAAGGATAGGAATTAATCAGTCCAGTTCCTTGTTTCTTTTTGTCTTTCCTCAAAGGTGGTTTCATTTTATTTCCCCCATTTCTCCAGTGTCTGTAATAGTGCCCGATGCCCAGGAGAGTGCAGATATTTGTCAAATGGATGAATGTGTCTTGCTTGTTGAGGGGTATAAATTCAACTATTACAGGAATCCATTCCTATTTCAGACACCCCCTCCAGCCCCTATAACCAGCAGACAGATTTTCTTTCTCTTACATGAATCACTCTGCGTTTAGACTAGATACAAATAAGCAAATAAACTCATAGATCCAGATCTCAAGGGGAGAAGGGGCTTTGGCCCAGGATGTAAAAGGTTCATGAAACTCTGGAATGGCCAAACTGAAGAGGATCTTAGGGGTCTAGCTCAACTCTTTTAATTAAGGGAGGAGCAAAAATGTCACCAAGTGTCCCAGTTATCAAGTCAGACAAACATTACAGATTGCTGACAATATTATGGAAGCAATGATTGACACTCAGTACCTCTGTGTGGTCACTGTGATGAGCACTGTCCATGGCTCTCACCTCATTTCTCCCCATGACACCCTCATGGGATTCTTATTTTATTGTGAAGCTGAGGTTCAGAGAGGGTAATTAACCTGCTTTAGGTCACACAGCAGCTAGATGGCAGAACCTGGAATTGGACCCACATCTATCTGACCAAAAAGCCCAGGCTTTTAACAACTATATTATAATGCCGGGGTTTTCCTGACAGTAGATCAAAAAGGTATTTACTAGGCTCTAGAGAAAAGGTCATCTTTGCACTTCGTACTGAAAACATCAAACTGTGTCCTCCTTAGATGCCACCATTAGCTCATGGTCCACCTGTAATGCTCTTCCCTTTTTGTCTTCTCACTAAGCCCATTCTCATTTCTCAAGTGTTCTCCCCTCTGAAGCCCTCTTCTGAAGCATCCCTCCCTCTCCTCCATCCCTATATTGCCTTATTGGTATCAGTACCGTTAAGAATGTCTACTCTGATCTTTTATCCTAATTGTCTGCCTGTCTGCTGTGGGGAGCACTTACCCCACACCCAGCACGGGGCCTGGCAGGCCGTGGAGGTTGCTCATGTTTGTTAAGTGAATATATCAATTCTAGTGCTTCTTGTTGCAAGCACCAGAAATGGACCCTGGCTAACCTACGCCAAGAAGGCACGTTTTTGAAAGGGTGCGTGATGGCTTCCACATGAAAGGAAAAGCTGAAGAAACCAGCTCAGAAAGGGCAGGAGCAGCAGGGTCCCCAGGGGTTCAGGTGTCAGGACTCTACTGCAGAGATATGGACATAGGTCTGGGGAGGAAGGGCAGGTTGGCCCAGGTTTCCAGTACTCCTTTCTCCTGGGCATCCGGAAAGAGCAAGGCACCTGTATTGACACAGCCGTTGTGGCTGAACCTCGGGGAGGAAGTGGAACTCCTCAAGGGGAGTTGTCCAGAGAAGGAGAAAGGATGGTAGGTGGTCTTCAGACAGTAACTGTCGCCTACAGTGATGTCTGTTTCTGGTGCAGATGCCTCCAAGATGTAGCTCTCCCACCGTGGGGCCACCTCCACTACCACAGAAATCACTGGAAACCAGGTAGGGGTCCTGATCATGTGCCCAGAGCTGCTGCTCCCTCAGCCCACCCTTGGGGCTCCTGCATGGCAGGGACTGGCCATGCATGGTGAGCACAGCCACATGTCCTGGGCACATCTCCCCTTCCATTGAGCAGCCCTCCAGGCCCTGGCAGTGGCCAGTGTGGCCCAGGCCGTGGAGCAGTCACGAACCGTGCCTATCTCCCCTGGCCACAGGAGGGTTCCCCTTCCCATGGGCTAAGGGTCTGGCCATTGTCACTGAGAAAAGACCTGGCCAGGGGTTGGAGCCTCAAAGGAGAGGTGGCTGCAGGTCATCTGTGCCAGCCAGGGGCTCCTAGGGGCTGGGAGCATCCCATGACATAGGTCTCATTTTCATCAGCCCCCTCTTGAAAGTCCTTCCTGCTCTCAGGAGTCCTAGAGCCCTGTGATAGTCCCAGCTCCCCAGAGAGAGCCATTTCTCCTACAGAGAGGTTGGTCCAATTGCTTTGGGGAAACTTCACATGGCAATGAGCTCATAATGGGCTGGTCTGTGAGGTCACCTGGCTGCCACCTGTCTGGTTCCCTCTAAAATGAACCTATTTCTAGCTCCCTATGTCAGCAATTTAGAACACACTTCCAAGTGGGCCCCATGTCGTGGAGATATAGAGGCTCCCACTGCCAAGAGCAGACTGTCTTTCAGGGAGGGTGTCTGGGGAAATTGGCCATAAGTATGATGGAAGCTTCTCCAGAATGGTGCTGAGGCTCCAGAACCTACGTGCTCAGGACCCAACTTTCTAGACAGCCATTGTTTCCATCAGCCTTTAGCCCTAGAGAAAAATGTCAGTGTCAAAGACAGCAATTGGCAGTTTTGCACAATAAGAAATTTAGTTTATGAGTTCACTCAGGAGGAAGTCAACACTGATTAACTCACACTGACCAGACTCACAGGAGACCAATGTACTAAGAGATTCTGAGTTATGAGAAACATAACTGCCAAGGAGACTTGTCATAAGGTAACCCTTGTAACCATTGGTGGCATGGCCTCTTCTCTATACAATCGATGCCCTTCTCTGCAAAATAATCTCTGAAAAAGCAAATTCCTCTGAGCAGACTAGTCAGGGCATACAGAGCTAGGGCAAAGTGTTGGAAGATTCTAGCAGGATGCTCTGGAGCTGTGGCTGGCTGATGTACTCATCTTTACTCTAGTGTGGCACAGCTCCTTCCTCCCTGGATTACGTCTTAGATACATGGACAAGGCAGAGTCTTTTCTTTTGAGACTACAGACCAGTTAGCTCCCATTGATGTAATAGAATTGAGTGTATTCTAGATTTTCAAGGAATGCCGAGGCCTTTTGATTTGGATTTAAGTGATGCTCTCATGCCCTCAGCAACACATTGTCTGACCAGGCTATCCCTCGAGATGGGCCAGTCTCCTATGTAGTGGTTGTGATGAGAGGGTGGCTTTTTCCTGACCTTGTCCCTAAACCCACTTAACAGACTACTGGTAAAATACTTGGTATGTCCTCTGCATGAATGACACAGCTCCTTCTCTAGTAACTGTTTCTTTGTTCCCTTTCTTTTGTGTTTTTCCAGAGCTCAGAAAAAACTCTCGTGTAGCCTAGAAGACCTGAGAAGTGAACCTGTGGACAAGGTCAGCCCCTCAGTCTCTCCATAAAGACTCCTGAGCTACTTACCCGGCAATGCGGGGACACACAGGTCCCACCTTGTAGAGGCCTTTCTGAAGCTGACAGGGAGGCAGGAATTACATGAAATTTTTGAAAAAACCAGTCAGGTGTGGCCCAAGGCATCAGAGGCAGGGCAGGGCAGGGCATGCTGCCTGGAATTGATGGAGAAGATGTAGAGGTGAGCACAGGCAGGTTTTGGGAAATGGTGGGGAGCAGGAGGATATAAGTTCAGAGCCATGAGTCAGATCAAACCCTAGAAGGTCTTGAGTCCTGGCTCTGTATCCCCAGAGCCACTCTGGGAGCATTGCAGGGATTTTGAATGAGGAAGTAATGTGATAAAGTGATGAGCCCAGGAGTGAGTTATGGGATAAATTTAGGAGATTGGAGAGGAAGCTTTTATTAAGAGTCTAGAGAGATGTGAGGAGGGCTTTGTGGCCCCTTACTTGAGGGTAGCCCTTGACCATGTGGGTGTCCCTGGTGCTGGAGGGGGAGGTCGCAAGTTCTTGCGCAAGGTCACTGGAGACCAGAGCTCCTTCCCTGATCGAGCACCTTTATGGAGCCCTGCCGCATGCAGTCCCTTGGTCTGAGCAGGGTACCAGCACCGGTAATTACAAAGGAAACCCATGAAGACTGGAGCTGGCAGGAGCCATGGGGCCCCTTCAGTGGCTCTGCCCCCATGGTCTTGTGCCTCTTGCTCTCCCCGGTCAGATTGCTGGCAGCTGCCCAGTGGCTGGACAGTGGACGGTGACCTGTTTCCTCCGTGGGTGGTGATTACCTGACAGAAAGATGGGGAGGGAGGGAATGAGCCTTGCAGCTAGAATCAGGCGGGTGGTCCTGAGTTGTCATTTGCAACTAACATGGTGTCTCTTTCTCCACACGATTGAAATCCTTCTTGCCACTGCACAGTGTGTCAATGGGAACCAGCTCCCAGGGGTAGAAGCCAAGGTACAGTAACTGCGTGCCCCTATCATGCATTTGTGGTTGCATGTCTGCTGGAGTTTTCACGGAGCAGGTTACAGCTTCTGGAAGTACGTGAATTATAAGGGATAAGAGCGCAGGAGGAAAGACAAAGTCTCCTCTCCCATTTTCTGCTTCTGTGCACCCCGCTGTGTAGTGTGACTTCACGTCATTGTGTGATGGGATTTCTCGAAAAACTCATCCTTAACAAGGCATCGTCGATCTGATTGCTGGGAGGGGGAGGTCAGACTTTCCACACCCGGCCAGAGGAGCGGGACAGCTCTTACCCTTTCTGCGCTCATGTGTCATGGCCAAACACAGGGGCGCACTCAGCCACCGGGGCAGGAATCTCTGTGGCATCCCCTAGCGTTGGTGTCTGGCCCTTGCTTTCTGTGAGTGGGAGCTCATCACATCTTTCCCAGCTCTAGTAGATAGGTCTTCTGGACTTCCCTAGAGTGTGCGCCCGCTGAGCCCGGCTCTCCCTCTGGAGCCCCTGGAATGAACCAGTCTTCCCTGCTCCTGACTGCTCCAGAATTGAAGTTCCTCAGGCCCTCTCTGAGTTGAACATTCTCTTCTGTGTGTGGATCACAGGCCTTTAAAGTTCCCAATCATTCTCCTTAGGGTCAGCACTGGTTTCTCCAGCTTGTGCCCTGGACCACACTTGAGCGCGGTATTCTAGATGGGGTCTGATCTAGGGACTGCTCTTGTACTTACTGCTGTCACTCCAGGTCCTGGGCACGGGATATTTCTTGTGCCTCTGCTTATGTGCTGTCCTGGTGTGCTCAGCCCGAGGCAGGAATTGTTCCCCATTGAGAAACAATAGAACAGGCTGTGGGAGGCTGAAGGGAAGGCGCTTTGCCTGAGTCCCTCTGACACAAAGCCCGTGTTCTTGCCGCTCTGGTGCGCTGCCTCCCTGTTCTAGCGTAAGGCAGCTGGGATTTCCATTCCCCCACAACCAGCCTTATCTTCTGTTCCTTCTGGGTCCTGTCCTGACCTTGACCTTCTCCAGCAGAGAGTCCTGCCTTCCCAGCTGTCCTTCTTGGCTGAACAGAGCTGAGAGCCCTTTCTGTCGCCCTTGAGTCCTTTTGTTGTCTTTTTTACAGGTCTGGGCCGCCTGTCCTGGGTTAGGTTCTGTCCTCTTTCCCTCAGCTCCTCAGTGAGCACCCAGGGCAGCCCATGTTGGCGGCCTCAGTTGTCTCTGCCCTGTCTTGGGGGGTGGGGGGTGGGTGCACGTGTGTGACAATGCAACTGGAAATCTGGTTTTGAGAGCCCTTCCCCACCCCCCTATTTCCTGTGTCGTGGGGAACCTGGAGTCACAGTTCCCTAAGCCTTTTGAACATTGCCTTCCCCACAACCACAGTGGTTCCAGGTCTGCCTGTGCATCAGAGTAATCTGAAATGCTCGTTAAAAATACCCACACTTGGAGTGCACTCCCAGAGGGGCAGATTCACGGGAACTCAGTCTGTGCCAGTGTCCCAGGTGACCGGAACCACTGGTACAGGGACTAGCATTTGCAAACTGTTGGTCTGACCAGGTCCAATCTCTACCTCGTGGGTCATCATGAATTTAAAAATCATGCGGTCTCCCTGTCTTAAGGTTCTGATTATTTCTGCTTCACCAGCCAGTTCTTTAGACTTCCTTGGAAATTTAGTCTTTTTTTCACATCTCTCCTTTCTGAGCTTTTTTATAGGGGTTAGTAGTCCACGTTCAGTGAAGGAATTGGATTTCAAACAATTTCTAGGACTTGTATTTTATAAGCGCACTGAATTCAGAAATTCTTTGGACACAGCTTTTAACTAAATGAAAGTTCAAGAGATGTCTCAGTCATTAAACTCTCCACTACTTTTCTGTCTTGTCCGTTTGAAATCAGAACTTTCATATTACTTTTCTTCTGGGCCCAATCAAGTAGTCCACAGTCGATTTCCTTGGTTATGTTGCTTCATTTTCTCTTCTTACTCAAATGCATTCCACTGGGTTTCCCTTAGGTTTGTGGGTTTAGGGGCCATTATATCCTTTTTCTTAAAAATTCCAGTATAGTTAACATACAGTGTTATATTAGTTTCAGGTGTACAGCATAGTGATTCAGTAATTCTATACCTTACTCAGTGCTCATCATGATAACTGTACTCTTAATCCTCTTCACCTGTTTCACTCATGCCCCCCCCCACCTCCCATCTGGTGACCATCCATTTGTTCTCTGTAGTGAAGAGTCTTTTTTTTGTTTTGTATCTTTTTCACTTTGTTCATTTGTTTTATTTCTTAAATTCCACATGTGAGTGAAATCCTGGCTTGTTTTTCTCTGGCTGCATTATGTCCATCCTGACCAACTAAGTGCAGTTCTTTTCCCTTTACATTATCTTGGTTTTTGGGTACCCTTTCTGTGGCTAGGGTGTGTGCACAGGCCTGTTGTACTGGGGCTGAACCTCGTGCAGACTATGATCCTCAGCTCCCAAGGGAATGGTTGGCGTGTTGCCCCCGGCCTGTTTTCTCTCATCATCTTCCGAATGTGTGCATCCCTTCTCGCTTTGTCTTAACCTGGTGTTTTTCAAAATAACTGTTACCATAATATATAAATATCACATATATGATATCATAAATACATATAATAAAGCAATAGGTATGCCCTTTACTAGAATTCGGGTTTGTTAATTCAAAGCTCTCAAAGGGTCATTCATGCCTGTTAATTCATCATGCGTCCGAGCATCTGGCCAAATGGCAAAGCCCCCTTTGCCAGACACTTCCACTTCCTGTTTAGGGTCAGTTGCAGTCAGCCCTGGATTTGGGCCTGACTCTGTCCCTGTCTCCTTGTGTGGCCCTTGGGCAAGTTTCCCAGACCTCTGGTCCCTTTTCCTGGGCTAAATGATCTTTGCAAGGTCTCTGAGTTGGCCTGAGTGACAAATGGCTCTTGGAAAGCTGAGTTGTCCCTGCATCCAAAGGTTTCCTAAGTGGGTTTGAGTCTGAGGCCGATGAGTTGATTCAACAGGTCTCTCTCTCTCCCCTTCTAATAGGACAGCCCTTTCCTGGTGGATCACAAATACCCCACATTCCCTGGGAAGCCTTCAGGAGCTACGCCCAATGGAGCGGCTGCCAAGTCGACTCCCACTGCCCCCCAACCGGAGCCCACAGGGAGCAGCCTGCCAAGGCTGAGTGAGTGTCCAGGCCCTGGGGCTGGCGGCCCACAGTTGGAGGATGGTGGGGGTGGGTGGACAGGACAAGTCATCCCTCTGGGTGGCCTCACTGGCAGGGACCATGGCTCCCTGTCTGGATTCATTGTTTCCTTTGGTAAGCCCTGTAGAGCACCAGAAACCCAGGCTGTGAGCCAGCACTTTCTTTTTGCGGTCACTCCTCCACCCCCCATTTGCCCTCTTCCAGTCCTCCTACCTTGGCCCTTCATGTCTTTCCCATCATTCCTCTGTTCCTTCCTTCTTAGACCGCTGACTACATCCTTCCCGTCCCTCCCTCCCTCCTCCTCTGTCATCCTGATCTCTCTCCTGGCTCTGCCTTCCTCTAGCAGCCTCCCTATTACCAGTAGGATGATATTATGCGCTCTTCCAAGGAAGAGTGTTTCCTTAGGGAACTGGAGTGGCCAGTGGGCAAGGATGTCCATTCACAGGTACCCTTTTGGTGCTTAGGGCCTGGAACTGGGGGGGTCTTTGCTGCTTTTCATGCAGAGTAGGCCATCTTTCCTCAACAACAACAACAGATCTGTGGAGCTTAGGAGGGAACATTCTGATCCCTGCAGAGCTCTCCCTACCCTCCTCCTCATCCCTGGTAGTTCGATGAGCCAGCCCGTGGTTTGGCTTCTGCCCTTGGCCAGTTCTGCCTCTGGCTGCAGAACTCCAGATAAGCTCTTGAATGAGTCTGTCCTAGTAACACTGAGACTCTGGACTTGCAACAGCTTCAGACCATTCTCGTCTGATCTAAGGGAGCCCTGGCACCCACACAGGAGCTGCATGTGGCCCGGTATATCAGCCCCTGCTGCTCTCCCTCCCTCTCCCTACGTGTGTATGGATGCCCCGGCCTGCCAGGAAGAGGCCCCGGGAGTATTTGGTCCCCTCACGTGAGGCCTCCTCTTACCGCACTGACCCTGTGGGCCAAGTTCAGTCACCATTCCCCCACCCCCTTTCCTCATGGGATTATTTTTCTTTCTGTTTGAGTTTTTCTCTCTTGCTCGATGACTCTTTTGTTTATTTCTTTGCTTCCCTGTAACTCTGTTGGGCTGGACTTTGGCCTCTCTTGCTTCTTCATGTGGCTTCTCTGCTTCTTGATTGGCTGGAGATCGTGGCCGGAGTGTCAGTGCCCCCATATTAGGTACTGTACCCTTTCAGGTGAGGTGGAGAGTGAGATGCCCTTGTGTCCCTTCCCTGACACCCTCCCCTTCCGGAACATTCAGCCATGTCCCCCTCCTGCCTGCATCCCTGCATCTCCCTTGGGGGAAGGAGGAAGCTCCTTGTTGGAGTTACCCGCCAGTACTTGGACCCCTGAACCTATAGCACTTGAAGACATTAGCTCACCCTGATTTGGAACCTTAACCTGTCCAGTCCTCAGAGAGAGTCTGGAGTGTGCCTGAGCCCCCTGCTGGTAGAGGTGTAAGTTTCTGCTCTGTAGGCAGAGCATACTCTTCCCCACCCCCACTGAAGGATAGCCCTGGCCTGGGGACGAGGTTTTGAAGGTCATGTTCCTTCTGACCTTCACACACCATTCCATTCTTTCCATCTCAGGAGACACAGAAAGTGGTTGGGATGACACTGTCGTGGCCAATGACCTCTCATCCACGTCATCGGGCACTGACTCAAGCCCCCAGTCTCCCCTGACGCCAGATGGTAAACGGAGCCCCAAAGGCATCAGGAAGTTCTGGGGAAAGTAAGTTGGTGGTGGTGATCGTAATTACGTTGCTTAGAATCAGTATTCTTCTTGAACGGGCAAAGAACCACATAGCCCCCTGTTTAATTAGATGTTGGAACAGCACTAGAAACAGAGTGGCCGTTAGAGGGAAGAATTTGAGTTCTCTTTGAAGGCCCAGAGGAGGAGAACATTAAATGTAGCAGTTGCCTACCTGCCCTTCATTCCAGACATCACTCCTTCCCACAAACCCTGAGCATATTCTCTGCAGCTTACACCACATGTACTTTGGAAGAGACACATGGCTGAGACCAACTTCTTCCTTCCCAGGGGTCAGTCTGTGTCTGAAGAAAGACTTGCTGGCCCCACTGATCCAGTCTGTGAAATGCAGCAGAAACGGGCATCCTACCCCACATCACTCCTCACTTGGACCCCCACAGGGCTTGCCCTAAATCCAAGAGGCAGAATGAGAATTGAGGCTTGGGTCTGGGGCGTTGTCACAGGCCATGATCCTTGACCTTTGGGAGGCCCTGGGCAGCAGTGCCATGGAGAGCCCGGCGTCCAGCTGGTGTGGCCCTGCGTAGGGGGTGGTGCCCTGCCTACGTGCTCCCAGCTGCCCCCTGACCGTCTCCATGGACTCCTCTCCACACAGGATCCGAAGAACTCAGTCCGGGAACTTTAACACCGATGCCCCAGGGATGGCAGAATTTCGACGAGGTGGGCTGCGGGCAACTGCAGGGCCGAGGCTCTCCAGGACCAGAGACCCCAAGGGTCAGAAATGGTAAGGGTCCCTCTAGTCTATTGACAGAGAACTGTGAGATCTTGGCCAGGGATGCTCCCGAGATGGAAGCAGAGCTTCTCCCCCTTTCCCACTTGGCACCAGCAGATGTTGCTCATGCTTTACAGGCACACTGAGGTAAAGGCAAGAGGCTCCCTACAAGCCACTGTGGGTGGTGGGCCCTCGGGCCTACCCGGGACCTCAGCAGCTCTGCACATGTGTGATTCATTCTCAGCAGTGCCTCGACATGCTGGATTGAGAAGCTCTGGTGCAACCATTCTGGAACCAGTCTGCAACAGATTCTGGAATCATAGACCCGAGTTGGAATGTCCACTCAACCACTTCCTAGCGGCGAGCCTTAAACCAAGTTCTGTCACCTCTCTGTGCCTCAGTTTCCTCATTTATGAAGTGAGGAATCAAAAGAAGTATTTTATTAAAGTTCTTATGAGGACTACATCGCTACTACCCGTCTAACCCAAGCATCAGCACTCTGCCACTCACGGGTCGACCTCCTCCAGTAAAAGTGAGAAAGGGCATTGTCCCCTGCCACCTGAGCAGGCCACATTGCCATTATGCCTCCTAAGACAAGGCGCCAAACTTCACTGAAGGGTGTTAGCTAAAGGGGGTGGCAGAGGGTGTGTGCCAGGGGAACCACAAGGGGAACTTCTGCAGGAGTCTCCCATCACGCCTGAATGAAAAAGCGTGGAAAGAAGCTAAACTTTTCCTGGCCTGCCCTGTCTGCCCTGGTAGACACTCTCCAGTTAGTAGCTCTGCCCCCTTTCCTTAGGCCGCCCTATTCTGAGAAAGCGTGCCTCCCTCAGGCCTGCCCAGGTGAAACGGTACTCCTGTGTTTTAGGAAAATCCCTTTCCATATCCTCTGATCCTCTCTTCCCATCAGACAATTTCCACAAAATACATCTTCAATAACTATCCCCTGAAGTCTGAGTTACTCAGCCAAGATCAGGCTTCTGGGGGCCTTCGTCAGGATTGGATTGTGACATTTTAAATCTAACCGGACAGTGAAAAGTAAAGTTTAATTCTCTTATATTTAATCCCTCTGAGATTGCCATCTACCAGTGCAGGTGGTGAGTAAGAAGTGCACAACTCACAATCAGTCCTCAGAAACAGTACAGTCTAGATCCCAATGACGAGAGAAGCACGTTTCCCTAAAGCATCCTATTTTTGGCAGGCCTACCCTCCTCCCTGAGAAAGGGAGCCCATGGATGCACACTCCCTTTCCCCACCCAGCCACCCCCGGGTTCTAGGCTTTCCAGGTTGGCTCAGGTGCGAGACGCAGGGCCTTTCCAGATCCACTTGCGCTTTGATGGGCATCCCCAGAGGTATTCTCCAGGTGCCATGCAGAGAGATGTGAGGGTGTGTAGACTTCTCTACCTGCTCTCGGGATCAAGGCATCAGTGTTACAAAAGTAAATGGTCAGTAAATGGTAGCTTTTGGAGGCAAGAGAAGGCAGAGACCCATTCAGAGCCATTAAAAAGTGAGCCAAAGAAAGCTTATATATTCCACAAGAGCGTTCTAATTTGCTAGCAATTTTTTAAATTTAGACTTAAACATTTCTGATTTTTCAGAGATGAAAATAATCTACAGTAAGCTTGCATGATTAACCTCAGCTCCAATTCTGGTGATTTTTTTAGCGTTGATTCACTGGCAGGGCTATAAGAACTTTCTCTAAGACCCTTAGTGCAGGACCACATGGTTAAGAGGCCCCCATACCTTCGGCCAGCCATTTTGGGATGGGGTAACCAAAATCAGGAACTTTCTCTGCTGAAGGAAAAACGGCATTTCCAGCCACAGGGCTGCTTTGTGTGAATGTCTTTGTGCTTTGTTAACCATAACAAGGATGAGGAAGGGAAAGAAAGACATCCTGAGGAGATTGCTGCTTTTATGCTAACAACACTTGTGGTAAGGCCCTGTGTCCGGTGGTAGAAAAGAAAGGCCTTTATTACTCATCAGCGGAAATTTGATATAAACGAATGTCCTCTGATAATTATAGTTGTTTAGGTATAGCCTTAAAAAAGTCTCATCACCAATATCCCTGTAGAAAAAGTACTTGGTTACAGAAAGTCTCCAGCCCCAGTCTGTTTTTTTTTTTTTTTCTAATGAAATACTTCTTTTTAAAATAATCCTATTTGATAATGACATTTCCTAGGACTCCTCTCTGAGGTTATAGAAGAACGAATTTTATTGTGTTTTTTTTCTCTCCTATAAAGTTTTACTGATTTACATTCCAGTTGGCACTGTGGCCCAGAGTGCCTATCACCCCACAAAAAATTACATTTTATTGTTAATTTAGTTTGCAGATGTTTGTCATTTTACTTTTTGTGAATTGTCTGCATTTTTTGCCCATTTTTGTTATTATCTGTCTTACAGACTTCTATCTGCTCTCTATATATTAAGACATGAAGCTATGTCTAATAATTGTGATAAATTATGTTTTAGGCTTGTTGCAGAGTTTTACTTTATTCTGTGACACTTTGACATATGGAACGTTTATGTTTACATATAATGAGGTTCATGAACTTTTCCTTTGTGGTTTTGTTCATGTTAAATTTTTTCAATGATTTTTTTTAAAAACTGTGTCTGAATCGTCTATTTGGGGATTTATTTTGGTATGTGGTGAGAGGTATTTTTATTTTTCCAAGAAATAGCAGTAGTGTATAATGTTAAAGTCAGGCAGACTCGATGACATGGCTGGATCTCATCTCTGTGCAGGGATGATTTCTGAGTTGGCCTCCTGAGGGTCTTCAGTCAGACTCTTTTATTGCCTTTCTCCCATATTCATGGCATCAGGTTTATCCTGAATGTGAAAAAGTCTAAGCTTCAAGGTCCTTTGCTTGCACCCGGGTGTCTTCTAGGATCTCGAGAGAGTCCCATCAATGTGCTGACAAAGCCATGTGTTTTTCAAAACTTGCTAAGTAAGGTATTTTAACCCAACCAGTTTTTGACTACTGACTCTTTACTCCAACCTTCCCCCCGTCTGTATACTGCCTTCTGTCAGATGATGTTGGAGCATCATGGGCATTTGGGGGACCTGGCCAGGGGAAAGTTTGGGCATCCATTTAGTTTGGATTTGTTGGGGTGTGCAGTCACTTCGTGTTTAGTTGACGAGCTGTCCTGTGTAAAAATGGCTCCCGGGATTCCTGCTACCTCCCAATGTGCCCATCTGCCCAGCACTCTGATACAAAGACGCAGAGTTGGCGATCGTGTCCCAGTGTGAACGTGTCCTTTGGCACTCAGTATCAGAAGTATGGGGTAGTGGAAAAGAAACATTTCAGATGTATAAAACCAGCAGCTATTCTGTGAAAACTTTTTCCAGTCATTAGATCTGCAAAATCCCAGGCAAGGGATTTGGTTCTCTTGGATGCTTAGTCAAAACAGAAATTCTCTCTAGTCAGAAATGCACTTACTGATGAAGTGTGTACAATTATAAGTGCACCATATGCTCTCCCTCTTTCATGGGGATGGCCTATCTGATAATCTCTTACGTCATTTTAACCGCAGTTTGGAAAGATGTTTTGGAACATGTCAGTAAAGCAAGTGGTTTGGCTGCGCCTGGAAGGTACCTTCTCTGTCCTCTCTAAATTACTTGATTGCATGTTCAACTATAGCCCTGGGAGACCCCAGAACTGAAAGAACCTAGCGGGGGAAGGGGGTGGAGGAGCAGGGTCTGCCACTGTGGGAACAATGCAGGTGTAGGAGGGTGGAGACCATTTACTAAGAAGGACATGGGAATTCTGTCGAAGATGAGCACCAGAGCTGTAGAACTGTTGAAAAGGTATATAAGACCGAGGTTTTCAAACTATGATTTCAAAAACACATTTTTCCTTCAGAACTGAAGTACCCCGCTGATTCATTGCATATATATTTTTACTGATTTCCAGAAATAAGAAAAGGAGTGAAATCAAAAAGCTAATAGAATGTGAAATAAAAATGATAAAATGAACATTTGAAAGTGAAAGTATTCTGGCATTAAGAATAGACAAACCGGGTGCCTGGGTAGCGCAGTCAGTTAAGTGTCTGCCTTCAGCTCAGGTCATAATCCTGGAGTCCTGGGATGGAGCTCCCGCATCAGGCTCCCTGCTCCCTGGGGAGTCTGCTTTTCCCTCTCGTTGTGCACCCCCCTTGTACTCTCTCTATTTCTCTATCTCAAATAAATAAATAAAAAATCTTAAAAAAGAAAAAAAACAGACAAATCATAAGAGACTCCTAAATATAGGGAACAAACAGAGTTGCTGGAGATGAGGTGGGTAGGGGGATGGGGATAACTGGGTCATGGGTGTTAAGGAGGGCACTTGATGCGATGAGTCATGAGTATTATATGCAACTGATGAATCACTAAACTCTGCCTCTGAAACTAATAATACACTACATGTTAATTGATTTTAAAAAAACTAGTAACTCAAAAAAAGGAGAAGAAACAAAACAATTCCAGATCATACCAAAAGCAGTAATTCATTAAAAGCAAAAGATAAATTCCAAACAAAAATAGTGAATAGGTTCCTAGATTATTGTTCATATAAAGTGAATCATATGAACACACTGGAAAAAGCTGAAAATTTCTTGATTTAACATGATCTAATACATCGGCAAAGATAACAAACTTGTAGTAGGAATTTATAAAAATACTTCTAGATTCCATGATTTTTTTCAGTTTGATTAAATTTGTAATCCTCCGTGATTTATTATTCTAAATATTTGTTCCTAATTCCCTATTCAAATTTTGTACTTTTCTTAAGGAGGTCCATGCAAATTTTACAAGTTCTAGGTCTCACAAAACCTGGATCTATACCTACTCATGGCTTATTATTCCACGTGGCCAGCACTTACCCCAGACACCTAGAATCATGCTTTTTCTTTACTTTTTTAAAAAATATTTTATTTTTTACATCCTAGTCACATTTATTTTTAAATTTAAATGCAATTAATTAACATATAATGTATTACTGGTTTCAGAGGTAGAGGTCATGCTTTCTTGTCATTCTGGTCTTTTAACTCCTTCATCTTAAGAACAACTCAACCAGGCATTCCAAAACAATTTTTTAACCAGCATGGGGTTAGGGGTGCTTTCCTGGAAGGAACCTTACAGACTATCTAGTTTTCTACGTTCCATAAATCCTGGCTGGTTTTTCCTCAAATGAAATAAAGTTGCTTCGCCAACCTCCCCCACCCCAGACTCCATGGAGGTTTCAAGTGTGCCATTATATTCACACTTCCATGAAAAATTGATGTCTTTAAGAACTGATGGCTTTGTAATACCCATCATCCTGTCCAGGAACATGATCTAGGTCTTGATTTATTCATGACTTGATGTTGCTCAGTTGAGTGTTATCATCACTGCCTCCCGTCCCCCGACACACGTACATGAGACTGAGGCATTGCTTGTGAAGCAACTCCTAGATATTGTATAATTTTGGTTGCTATGAATGGGATTTTTAAATTAACAAAACTGTTAGTATGTGTGCTATTGATTTTGTAAGTCGTATAAATATGATGTGCGTTTTGTAGCTAGTGACCTTACTGGGTTCTCTTGGGTTCTCCAGGTGGGGAGGTGCATCATCTGAGAAGAGAGGCAATCTTTTACTTTTACCTTCTAGCCTTCTTTTTTTCTCTTTTTATACTGGCTTCACTCTCAGACCCATGTTATTAGTCCTGATTAAAAATACTCTTTCTATTGACTTTAATGTGAATGTCCTTAGTATTTCATTAATAAAGCATTAGCTATTTAGAAGGTTTTCTTTTTTTTTTTTTAAAGATGTTATTTATTTGAGAGAATAAGAGAGAGCTTGAGAGAGGGGGAGGGTCAGAGGGAGAAGCAGACTCCCTGCTGAGCAGGGAGCCTGATGCAGGACTCGATCCCGGGACTCCAGGACCATGACCTGAGTCACCCAGGCGCCCCTAGAAGGTTTTCTTTTTTAATGTTAGAGAACTGACCCCCTTTTCCTAGTTTTCTAAGCATTTCCCTAAAGACAGTGTTGATCCATAAAAATCTTGCTGATAACATGATTATCCTCGTAATGGGGCACGATTCTGGGCTCGTGGCACGTGTGCCTCATAAGTGGACCAACGGCACATGAACATGGCCTCCTGAGAACCCGTGACTGGCCCGTGCTCATAGTCGCTGCGGATTCGAAATTCACACCAGGTGTTATCACAGGAAACTCTCGAGTGCACTACAAGTGAGTGTTGTTAGTGGAATTTCGTGCAGCAAGATCCTATGATTGGATGGTTTAAAACACGGTTCCCTTTTCTCTGAGGCTCCATTGTGCTCACATGCAGCCTCAGGCTCTCCCACTAACAGGGCCCTGCTGTTTTCCTGCTCCCCAGTGACGCCAGTGCCCCCTTTGCCCAGTGGAGCACCGAGCGCGTGTGTGCATGGCTGGAGGACTTCGGTCTGGGCCAGTATGTGATCTTTGCCCGGCAGTGGGTGACTTCTGGCCACACTTTACTGTCAGCTACCCCTCAGGACATGGAAAAGGTAAGGGCTGAGCCCCCCGGGAAGGAGGTTCCCTTTTCTCCTCAAACCAATGTCTGGTGAGGTGTGGCCCCCACTCCTCCTTCCCTTGTGCTTACACACACAACACACACAAACACACAGATGTCCTCTGTCACTGCAGGTCAATCCCAGGGCACTGTGCAGGGGTCCTCGGCCACACGCACCCCCCCCCCCAAGATGGACTGTCTCCACCCAGACGTGGCACCCTCCAATGGTCAAGCTGCTGGCTGGAAGTTCACATCTGTCCTCATCTTTCAATTTCAGGAGTTGGGAATTAAGCAGCCTCTGCACAGGAAGAAGCTGATTTTAGCTGTGAAAGCCATCAACACCAAGCAGGAGGAGAAGTCTGCCCTGCTGGACCACATCTGGGTGACACGTAAGGACGGGCAGCATAGATGCGTGTCTCTGGCTGCTGCTAAGGGTAACTTAGCACTTTGCCTAGGAATGCGTGCCTCAAAGACTGTGCTCTCCTTGGAAAAGGCAAATGAGGGAGTTCCTTATGGGGAATCCAGCTGGACCCGCAAGATGATCATTTGTTGCTTTTTATTTATCTGCATTCACAGTCTCCCATTCTTAAGAGCCCGAGCACACCTGTTTCTTCTGGTTTCTGTAGGTTGGCTTGATGATATTGGCTTACCACAATACAAAGACCAGTTTCATGAGTCCAGAGTCGATGGGCGAATGCTACAGTACCTAACTGTGGTGAGGATTTTCCCTTTCAGTGTTTTGGTTGTCCCTGCAAGCACTCAGTGTAGGTATCCCCGTGGTGCTTATTGTAAACTTGCTTCCACCTCCCCGCTCTTTTCTTAAGGTCCTTAAATAGTATTGTTGGTCACACAAGAGGTCCGAGGTGGCAGAGTAGGAACCATTGTGCTAAGAGAAGCTGCTGGTGTGTCCATGTGCACCTTCTAAGATGTGGTAGACTTGTCTGTGTGTGGTCTGGGAAGGAATCTTAAGGGTCTTAGTCACCTTGGAAACTCTGGTTTATCAACCAAAACTCTTCTCTTCCAGAATGATCTCCTCTTCTTAAAGGTTACCAGCCAACTACATCATCTCAGTATCAAATGTGCCATTCATGTGCTGCATGTCAACAACTTCAACCCCCACTGCCTACACCGGCGGCCAGCTGATGAGGTGAGGGCAGGATGGTACCTATCCTGGCAGCCCTGTGTGCAAGGTTAGGTGTGTGAAAACAAGAGTGACCTTAGCGCAACATGGCTGCCTTCTGAACCAGGGTGCTTGGGATTCTTTCCTTTGCTAGTGCTTCATGGTGCTCCAAACACCCCCTCTTGCCTGCATTTTGTGCCCCACCACAGACACTAGACTTCTAAGCTCCCACCGCTCTTGGGGAGACCCAGTTCAGGGCCAGAGGCAGTAACAACAAGTCTCTCAAAGCCATCACAATGATCAAAGATGATGAGCAAGTGGTGCAAAGGAGAAGGAGGGGAAAGCAAAATGGCAAGATGGGGTCAGAGTAGACAGAGGAGAGAAGAGCCCATCTGGACCCAGACATTTCAGATCTCCCTACTTGTAGCTACAAAATTAGCTGACCTTTAGTCCCAGGTGCACAGGGGATGGTGAGCAGGTTTTGCTAGAGAAGAAATAGTGTAGGTAAACACAGCAGCCCACGTCCTGGAGAGGTGCCTGGTCATGTTCTTTTTTTTTTTTTTTTTTTAATTTATTTATTTGAGAGAGAGAGAATGAGAGAGAGCACATGAGAGGGGGGAGGGTCAGAGGGAGAAGCAGACCCCCAGCCGAGCAGGGAGCCCGATGCGGGACTCGATCCCGGGACTCCAGGATCATGACCTGAGCCGAAGGCAGTTGCTTAACCGACTGAGCCACCCAGGCGCCCCGCCTGGTCATGTTCTACATGGCACAGAGCTCTTGTTGGGCCCCGAAGCTAAAGGCTTGTCAGTCACACCCCGTCTCCTATATTCCTACGAGCTAAGTCTAACTGTGCTGTAAGATTAACTCCTCTTCCTGAGGGATTAAAAACTGCTACCTCCACCTTCCATCTCGTGTTCTCCCTATTCAGCAAATAAGTTTTGAATGCCTTCTGTGTGTCAGAGTGCTGAGCATTTTGAAGACTAAGATGCCACTTATGTCTAAGTGTCTTAATATGTGTTCCCCTGAAACATTTGGCCACACCCAGGAGATCTTCGTCTATAAAACACTTGACTCTTAAATGATAGTCCTCTTTCAAGTTCTGTTGAATCACCGAATGAATGACTCTGTGCCTTCATTTACTAGTCCCAGCCAGAGGATTAGGGAGTCACAGGGTTCTGGAATCAGATATTTCAGTGTGGAATGTCTTGCAAGTTTCTGTGAGAGCTCTATCTCTTAGAAACCAGGAAGGCTCTTAGGCAGGTGGGCTGGCTACCTAGCTCTGTGGGCATGAGGGCTGTCTTCTGGTCGGGCATCTGGGGCAGGCTTACTCCCAGGGGCTGGCTCCACAGGGGACCACAGGTAGGACTTGTTAGACCCAGCTTTCTCACTCTCTCCTTCTCCCTGTCACAGAGTAACCTTTCTCCTTCAGAAGTTGTGCAGTGGTCCAACCACAGGGTGATGGAGTGGTTGCGATCTGTGGACCTGGCGGAGTACGCACCCAACCTTCGTGGGAGTGGTGTCCACGGAGGCCTCATCGTGAGTGGCTCTTTAGACTAGCCCACCTGCTTCAGTGTAAACGGGGGTATTCAGAAACTGATTTCTTCATGGCTAGACATAAATCCTAGGAAAAAATGTTGATAACCCTTACATCAATTGAAATCTCAAAATATTTGATAATTTGCAGTTGGAAATGAATATACCTCATGGAAACAAGATGGTTTCTGGAAAGGTCTTCTGTAGCAACAGATCCAGAGGGATCCAGGACAAATGGGTTGCATAAGTCTGGCCTTAACATGGCATCTCCACCAGCACCTGAAGGAACACAGTGGCTGGGGAAGTGAGGGGTTGGCCACCACAGTGGAACTTCCCCCTTGCCACAGTATAGTCATGATTGTCACTCAGATCTGTCAAGTGGTAAAGCCAGTGGGGAAATGAAAGGATGGTTCGGATGTCCCCCAGAGCAGACTGGTCCTGAGGAGACAGCCGTATCCAAGAACCCACCGCTCTCTCCTGGGCAGTGAGAATGAGGTGGGCAGTCAGCCAGTGTGTTAGCGTCTACCCAGAGCCAGGCCCTATGCCGAGGAAACAGAGAGGAGTGGGATACAGGACAAGTGGATGAGCTTCAGCCCCTCTCTGGAGACACCCCTCTGTGCACGAGGGCCTATTTGTCAGTGTGCCCTCCTGGAGCCATCTGTGGTCATCCCCGGGTGGTCTGTCTGTGTTTGTTTCTTAGATCCTGGAGCCACGCTTCACTGGGGACACCCTAGCTATGCTTCTCAATATTCCACCACAAAAGACGCTCCTCAGACGCCACTTAACCACCAAATTCAATGCCCTGATTGGTCCTGAGGCTGAGCAAGAAAAGCGAGAGAAAATAGCCTCACCAGCATACATGCCGCTGACCACCACAGCCAAAGTCCGGGTGAGTTGCCAGGCCCTTTCTGGGGTGGCACAGGGGCCTGCCTTTTAGCACTCATGTTGTACTGCAGCAGGCCCAGTGGCCTGGAGCCAAACCAGCAAGGGCCATGGGGCACACGGATGAGGAGGCTGTCTCAGGTCCGGACCTCAGAGCTTGGTCTCCTCATCTGTTTTTGTTCAGCCAGTTCCCTGCCGTACCCGAGTCCAAGGAAGAGAGTAAACTTTTCTGTACATGGACACTATGTCCCGGAAGCATCTGCTCTCAGGCAGCTAGTGCTTATCCTCTGTCCCAGTGCTGCCTTGACTCATCTCACAAGCAGATGAGCTCACGATTCTGAGTTCTGTTCGGTCAGGCTCATCTGTGGGCCACACTGCTCTGGGGGGTCTTCCTCAGAACTGTCTGCCAACATAGGGAGCGCTCCAGTGGCCTTGTGCTGGGGCGGCGGCCAGTCCACGGCTGTCCAGGGGTCCCCAGGTCATACGAGCACCAGCAGCACTCACTGGGGCTCTCTGAACCCCACAGAGCTTGTGAGAAACTGCCTGAGCCACACTGTCCTCGGACCACATCCTCCTCAGACTGCAGGCCCACACACACAATCTCTGGAGGCCGTGTCCCCAGCAGCAGGGGATGCCTAGGTCCAGCTACAGTTCATGCACAGACCTCCCTCCCCAAGGGAGCAGGACCACAAGTGTGTCTGGGGGAGACCAGCGTGAACAGCAGGAGGGGCTGCCCAGGGCTCTCCGGTGTGGCCTCCCCGGGGCACGAGGTGCCACGAGCCGCAGAGGCTGCCACTGTGTGAGGCAGGGCCTCCACCTCAGCTCCCAGTAGACGTTCCTGGTTTCCCTTGGGGAAAGTAGAATGTCACTTGTGGGCCAGCAGGGCCTGAGTTTCTCATACACAGTCTCGGAGGAGCAAGATTCTCTCTCCTTGCTCAAGATTATTTATCTGTTGGCCTTTCTCTAGCCAGGAGCTCTGTTTTGTTGAGAATTTTTCCAGAAGTTGTTTGCCTTCTTCCTTTCCTCATGAGCCCGCTCTTACATTGTGAGTTCTATCTGCACGCTGACCTGATAAGCCCCTTCTCCTAATCTTGCACTTACTGTGTTTTAGCCAAGGAAACTAGGATTTTCGCATTTTGGAAACATAAGAAGAAAGAAATTCGATGAGTCGACGGACTACCTTTGCCCCATGGAGCCCAGTGACAGTGCTGGTGACAGTTCCAGGGCCTACAGTGGCTACCGGGGCCTCAGCCCCCTCGATGCCCCTGAACTGGACGGGCTGGACCAGGTGGGACGGATTAGCTGATGGCCTTGTTACCTGTCCTCTCTGCACCCCGGGAGCTTCACCGTAACACTGCGTGTGTCCGCATAGAGCTGCACCTCACCACCCGCCCCTGTGCATGCCTCACAGAACATTCCGGCTGCTGTGTACTCCAGGCCAGTCTCTCTCTGAACTCTGGGGGTGGCCGGGGTATGGAGTGGCACTTTTGCTAAGGAGCCAGCCTTTGGGGACTGTTGCCAAAGGTGGACTCAGGAGGAAAGACGCAGAGACGCTTGTACATCTATAGTAATTCTTAGTGGCCATCTTCGGCACCGGTGGAAACACACAACCCTGGACACGGGTTCAGAGACCGTGGGCGATCCCCAGAGGCTCAGCTCTTGGGCCCCTCTGCTGGGCTTCCGTTGAGGGGCAATCTTAAGTGCCTTAGGCCTGTGGCCACAGAGTTGTGGCTGAGACCCCAGGGATGGCAGCAGGGACTCCTGCCGCAGTGACAGCGTAACTGTGTTGTGCCTTACCCACAGAGGTGGTCGCTTCTTTCTGGTAATAAAGACAGTATTTATGTAGAAAGCAAACAGCGCCACATACCTTTAACCTCACTGGGCAGGGAAGAGAGCTGGGCACAGCTGGAGATGGAGTCCCGCGTGTTGCCCAGCATGACAGCGGGTGGCCCCGAGCCAGTCCTTGGCCAGGGGCACACATGGCATTTGCCAAGTGTCATGGACGAGGGAACTGGAGTAGGGAGGGACCCCCGTATCCTTCAGAGGAGGTCTGGGGCCTCTTCGCTTCAGGCTCCACCTCCCTCTTATGAAGCCGTGGGGAACCTCGTGCTCACTGACTGGGTCGCATCTGTCGTGCAGACCCCAGAGTCGGTTTCCGTTTCAGCAGCGTGAGCCTCCTCAGGGGCAGAGGGGGAGACAAGAACGCGGCCTCGTGGAAATTGCCTCTGTTCTTTTGTGTGCTTTGTCAGCCTCCCTGCTACTAACCTGGCTGGGCCCATAACCGTTGTGGGGGCTGGTCGGTCTGTCGGCAGAACGGGAACAGCCCTGGCCTCCTGATTTAGAGGCTGGCTAACTGATAATGGCTCTTCCAGATGGGCCTTGTCTGGACGGGGACTGACGGAGAGACACATTTTGCCAGTCTGGGTTCCTGCTCATGAGATTCCAGTTTGCCTAGGGCAGGGTTTGGCCCTCCTGGGTCCCCCGGGCCTCATCTGCAAAATAACAGCGACCTTATAACCGTCTGACGGCCGGGGCAGGGCTTGATGGCCCCATGGAGGGCACTCTGATTCTGTCCCAGACGGAGGCAGCGCTCTGGTTTGCTTCTTAAACTACCAGCAGCCCCAGGGATGGCTGATAACCACAGGCCATGACCACCTGGGCCTCTCTGAAGTCAGCCTGGTGCCTGATCCCAGTACCCGGGACACTGAATGGCAGGTGCTCCTCGGGGCTGGTCGCTGGGCGAAGCTGTCATCGAGCCCCAGGGCTGGCTTTGTCCCTGATTCCTAGGGTGTCCTGGGGAGAGCATCTCTGCATGCACCTGTTTTCAAACCCTGCATGGAATTATGTCACTACATTTCTCTGTGGTCTCAAGCAAGGCTTGTGTCCCTTTGTGGGCCTCAGTTTTCCCACCTGGAAAATGTGGGATGATACTTGAAGCTCTCAGAGGATGCTTCTAAATCTACAATGTCTACATAGGCTTAGGGAAGACGGAGCAGACCAGCATTACCTGAGGAGGAGGGGAGGCAAGGGAGGCTCCTGGCAGTGAGGAAGCTCTATGAGCAGCTCCCTGAGGGTGCCCACCCATACCTACCCTGGGCATCAGCATACGGGGTCCCGTTGTCACCGGAAATTATCGGTGTATTCAGCATGCTGAGGCCTTCGTCCCTGCTGCTTTCTGCTTCTAGAAATAGCTGGAGCACTGAGCATGGGTGGAAGGGCTGCTTCTCATCTCCCGTGCACCCTCAGTGTTGGTGCCAGGATGGGCCCTGGGAACGTGTGCACACAGCAGTGTGGGATACTGGAAGCTCCGGCCTTCCCAAGGACAGAAACGGCATGTGCCCTGCCCAGCTGTCACTCCCCAGGGCCTGGGCCCCCTCCTCACCCACTCTCCCAGGACAGGACTTGCATGCCATCCCTGTGAATCACAAGCCGAGTCCATCCGCGTGTGCTGATCAGGCTGCTGCCCATTTTACAGATGGCCCCTTCGGAAGGCACTGTGACGCAGATAGGGCTCCTCTCCCAAGACATTCACCGCCTCACGGTAGGATTCTGACCCTCTATCTGCAGTAGGCCAGGTGCTGGGGTGGCCCCACGAGTTTGGCGTGATACCCACAGCCTGACCACCTCCCCCCCGCCCCCAATCCCAACCTGGGTCCTAGGCTATGCTAGGAATTCGAAGGATGGTGCTGAGCACTGTGGCCTGAGCTGCTAGGGGCACTGAGAAGGGTCACGGGCCTTGAGCTGAAACCAGCTAAAGCATGCCAGGTCTTGGTCCTCTTCCCATGCTCAGAGCTGGTGAGGAAACCAAGATGCTTGGCAGTTCCGGGTCACCTGCCTTGTCAGCCCAATGCCCGGGCCTCCTCTCTGACCTGGTGGGCACTGCTTTGCCCTCTGCTCCTGAGACACGTGCATTTTGTGCCATGCCTCTGGCCTCATGGCAATCATGGGCATGTGGACACATCCTGGTGTGCCTCATGGGGACAAACTATCATGAAGGGGCAGAATGGTGTCCGGGAGAGATGCCGCTTCGGAGGGAGGCCAATCTGGTTCAAGCCCCTGCTCTGCCTCTCACTGACTCTGGGACCTCAGGCAAGTCATTCTCTCTGCAAACCGCAGCTTAGTTGTCTGTAAAGCCTCCTCGCAAGGCTTAGAGACAGACGACAGCTGGCAGGAAAAGTCCAGCCACAGAGAAGATTCACACTGTGGAGGCCCTATACCTTCCACTGCCCCGTACTTTTGGATGGTCCCATCACTGAGCCCACTGGCTGTAGCCCCTGTCCCCGTCCTTTGCTCACTGATCTCTTAGGGCACATTAAGAAGGCTGTATCCAAGGACAAGATGGAAGCGGAGGGGGAAGGGGCTCCCTGAATCGAAATGGGATCATTTTTATTTTGTTATTCCCTTGGCTCGCACACTGAAGTGCATGCACCCAGCCTTGCCCTCCACTACTCGTAGGCCTTGGGTGGTCTTGAGATAGCAACTTCCCCTCTAAGGTATAAGCGATGTATTGTCTTGATAGCGCAGTCTGTTCTGATTGTGCATGCGGGGTCCCCGGAACCCCACGAGCTTAGAGGGCGCCAGTGGTGTCAGACGGGACCCCACCCCGTGTCCCGCTGCTTCCTGCGTAGCTGCCGCACGGCAGCCTTGACCAAAACCCTGTTCAACTGGCCCTCGGGCTGTGTCCTTTCAGACTCTGCTGAGCCAGGACCAGCTGCTGAGCGACTCTCGCCTGGCCGCTCCCAGCCCTGAGGACTGGAGGTGACTTTCTTCGTGGCCGAGAGCCCAGAGAGCCACGCGTGGGGGCCCCGGGTCTTTGCGTCGGGGAGCTGGCGTGGCCGCCCGCAGAGCCCAGACGGGCTGGCAGGACCCCTCGGATGTGCGCACTGACAGGAGCGAGCAGAGCGGTGAACAGATGTCCAGGAGGGGGCCCCGGGGGCCCCGCGTTCTCAGCCGCGCTAGGCTCTTCACCACAGCTTTTATACCTTTTGTACTTTTATACATGGATTGCCCCCCACTTCTGTGGGGAGGGCAGTGAGACGTCAGCACAGACTCAATGGCCCCTGCTCTTCCTGGTGACGTTTGGGAGGTTCTTACGCCAAAGGGGAAGGGCAAGGAGTTCATAAAAGCTCTGCTGGAAGAAACTTCTGGAAAAAAAAGTTCTGGCTGTCCTGTAGTGGCTGAGCTGGCTGAAATGACAGGGAGCCCCTCCTGGCTGCTTCCACGCCAAGGGGGCACTTGCCTTCACAGGAACCGGCCCAGGGTGAGCACGGCGAAGGAGCAGTGGGACTCCTCCCATGGCCCTCACTGCCCTCGTCCTGCCCTCCTCTGCAGCAGGGTGTCCGGTTGTCCGTGCTGCTGGGCATCCTTGGTCTGAGCAGAGGCGCCTCCAAACCCTGGGCCCCCTAACCCTGGCTGACCCGCAGCGCAGGCTCCCAAGTGCAGGTGTCTGGTCAGATGGCTGCCCCCAGCGGACGGCCCTCGCACACCCCAACAGCGTTTCCGCCCCTGGCCATCTCCCCACACAGCCTGTTCCCTGCCGTGTCTCCTTTCTCGGGGAGAGGCCCCGTGTGCCCCCAGCCCTTCTGTCCCTCCCGGCCAGTCTCCCCACTGGCGACAGCCCCATCCTCTTCCTCCCTGTGACAGCTCAGGCCTCCTCTCTCCTCTGCTTTCCGAAGCTGGGCTCCTCGGTCCCCCACCTCCCCAGTTGGTCCCCTGCCGTTCTCTCCCCTGTCCGAGAGCGGCCTTCCCAAAGCACCGTTCTCATCCTGATACCGTTGTGCGAAGAACGCCTCAGTTCCAGAATCGAGAGGAGTTCAAAAGCCTTAGGCAGCACCCATGGCCCTTCCGATCTCCGGCCTCACGAACCCTCACGAAAGCCTGTGCCGCTGCCTTTCCTTCCCCGTGAGGTGTCGTTTTCCCCCTGGTCCCCCTCTCAAGGCCGAGTTGCGCCTGTCCAGAGCCAGCAAGCCACACGGCTTCTTTCAGGAAGCCTTCGCTGATGCGTCGGAGTTTCCTGTGTCCCACTGTGCCGTCAGCCCTTGAGCCGGAGCCCTCCTAGCTCCCCTGCTGGGTGTCTTTCTCCCTCACACAGCCACCCTCAGCACGAAGGCACCGAGCACCTGCTGTGGGTGCACTCCTGTACCGCCGGAGTAAGAGCCAGCCCTGGTCCCCAAACTGCTCAGGGACTCCAAGCAGGCCACCGTGCCGTGCTCCAGCCACCCACCCCTTCTTATGTGCAGGTTAAGCATGTTCCATGCCAGGCTGAGGGCTGGAGGTCTAGGCACGAATGTCAAGGTGCTTGTCTGAGGGTGCTGATGCTCTAGTGGGGGTTACATCTCTGTTCTAAGCTGAAAGGTACAGATGCTCCAGTAGAAACTACTTGTCCTTTTTTATTTTTTTTTTTATTTTTATTTTTTTTTATTTGTGAGAGAGAGAATGAGAGAGAGCACGAGCGGGAGGAGGGTCAGAGGGAGAAGCAGACTCCCCGCTGAGCAGGGAGCCTGATGTGGAACTTGATCCCGGGACTCCAGGATCATGACCTGAGCCGAAGGCAGTCGCTTAACCAACTGAGCCATTCAGGCACCCTACTTGTGTCCTTTTTAATGGAGAGCCGGGGGAGCGGCCGGAAAAGACTTCGAGGAAGAGGTGCTCCCTGGATTTCAGACATGACTCGGTTCCCGAGTGTGCCAGAGGGGAAAGGTGTGGTAAGCTCTGTGTTGGAGGAAAGTACGAGGGTGGGCTCTTACTCATCATACTGTGCCCAGCGGAGTAGCTTCTCCAAGTAGGGATCTGCTGAGGGTGCGCTGAACACACGCATGGGTGAAGGCTCGCAGCCCCTCCCCCCCACACCCCGCACCCATCGCACCCCTACCCACCCTCTGTGAGACCATCCCCAGGCAGGGCACAGCTGCACTCTGGTGAGTTCTCTAGAGCCATCTCACCCTCTCCTGCCCCCCCCCCACACACGCATGCACACACGCACATCCAGTGACACCGTTGGAGGCAATGCTAACAATGCCAGTTTTTGCAGAAAGGAAAGGACTTGGACTTAAGCACCCAGGTCTGAAGCCCAGCTTTTGCTGCCTCCTGTTGTATTGGAAGGACCTGAAGATAATAACTTAGAGCCTCACCTTCCTCATCTGTCACTCGGGAGAACATCATCCCCACGGAATCTCAGCTTGTTGTGAGAATGATGCGAACTAAAGTGCAGGACAAGTTCTACCCACCCCTGGGCAACGGAGCAGCACGTCAGCCTGGCCGCAGACGGCCAGGGCTGGGAGGTCACTTGGATCACTTGGGCTTAGCAATGGCAAGGATTTCAGGAATAACTCCTGGAGCCTCATCTCATTTGCAGTTCAGAAGCTTCTGTGCTAACCACCCCACCCGCCACACCAGAACGGGGCCTGGCATTTAGAAGATGCTGAGAAAACCAGGGCCCTTGCCTCCATCTGTTGTGCAAAGCACAGGGAGTCTAGCATGGCTGAAGCCTGCCTACCGTACGGATTTACTACTCCCTAATACCTTTCAACACCGTTCCTACTTCAAGGGTCTCCTACCAAAGAAGGAAGAGAGCACATGGAGGGTGCCTGGGCCCTCTAGTAAGTCTGACCTTAAAAACAACACTCTGGAGAGGGCAGTTCAAGAGAGATTACTGGGAGTTGATATGACCCCAGTTGGATCCTTCTGGAATTCTGCCCCTGCACTTTTGCCAGTTCTGACCTCCCTTGGACACACACAAGACTATTCACATGTAGGGCTGGCCTAGCAGATTCCCCACAGAGCCACATCTCCTGAGCTGTCTGCTTTGTGCTGAAGTTGATTTCATTAAACTATGGGGCAAGGCACTTCGAGCCTCCCAAGCTAGGAGGCCTCAGAAACCAGTCTGCCTCCAGCCCCTTGAATGCTGCTTAGGCTCACACCCGAACGAGGAGCCATGTGCCTGAGGATGCATTACAAGGCACTTGTGAACACATCCCAGTTTAATGTGGTGAGGCAGAACTCACTCCGAAACAGAAAGGGACCAGGCAAATTTGCTAGAAGCAAGGGAGGTATCAGTAAGTGAAAATCATATCCTTGGTATAACCCAGTTTCTCCAGGTTAGGGTGAGCAGTTGTCTGGATCAGGGGCAGTGGGCCACACACCAGGATGAGCGTGGACTGCCCAGGAGGAGGGAGGTGCTCCTTGATCATGTTGGCGGTGATGTAGCCTGAGCTGTACTTCCAGCCTGAGGTTAAGCAGAAGTAGAAAAAAGCTGTGAGGCTGCTGGGTAGAGCCCCTGACCCCAAGCCATCTGCCCCCACCCCAAAGAGGGAGGCAAGGCTGCTCTCCAAGGCTTAGAAGTCTGCACTGCTGTTCTCTGCAGAGAAGCCGGGAAGTGGAGGACATGGGAGACCCAGGAAGCCTTCAGTATTGACCCCGCATCCCAGGCTCACTGCTGGTTGTCTGACGCCGCACGCAGGGGCAGGGATGGAGAACACAACAGTGAGGCATGGTGTGAATCAAGGCAGGGAGCTGGGGCTGGGCAGGTTGGAGCAGGCCTGGGGTTTGTGGCTCGGTTAGGGGGCGCCCTCTGCTGGGCAGTGAGCTATATGACAAGGCAGGCACAGCTGGGTGCAGTAGGAGAGGCAGCATGAAGGTGCAGGGTGCCGGGGTGGCTGGGTGCTGGCTAGGGTTGCAACAGCTGCCTGGGGCTCGCCATGTGACGCCTACTGTCCAGGATAGGTCGGGTGGTAAGGGGGCGAGGGGTCCATGGCCATGTGTGTGATGTCTCTGCGGGATGCTGTGTCGAGTGTAGCATGGAGTGGGTGCTCAGAGCGACCCAGTGACCGGGTGTCCCTCCGAGTCCCTCCTGAGGTTCAGTGCGCATATGGACTGCTGCTGAGATATCAGACACTGCTCTTACAAGCAGGTCGCCCCAATCCTCTCTCCCTCCACTTCCATTTCCCATGCAGGGACAGAGCTGAAGGTCTCAGCTCCCAAGCACAGTCCTAAAAAGCAAACAAACCCAGGGACTAGTTCCTGAGGTGGGTCAAGGGTTGGAGCTAACCCACAGTGGGGACTATGGGGATCATACCAACAGGAGGCCTGTCCAGGGTGTACCATAGGTCGAACTGCTCTGGATGAGTTCTGGCAACTTCTTCAAGCTCCTTTCTCACCAAGATATCCTCCTCTGTCTAGAAAAGAAGGAACATGAGCAAAGCCCCAACAGGGACATCCTGCTTGGTCCCCACACTGAGCACACGGGTCAGCACATTTCTGCCTGAGCTGACCCCACTTGAGTGGGGGTGCTCTCGCCACAACTCCAGGGTAAACAAAGGTTCTGCTGCAGCTTCTGCACTACCAGCCCTCCCTCTTGTGGGCGGAGGACAGGGGAGGCTCCTGCAGCGGCCGGGACCGCCCTCCAGCTGGAAGGCCACTGCGGAGCCCAGGCGGGGTGGCCTCACTCAGAGGTCTCAGCCCCCCGCCCCCATCCACACTGAGCACCACGCAGGGCTAACCCAGCTGGAACCCAGTTGGAAGGAGCGGAGTGTGGGCCCAGGATCTTCTGCAGGGAGCGCAAGGGGTGAAGGCAGTAATACATGAGGTCCCACCTAACGTAACAGCACTGGAGAGCTAAAGCAGAGGGCAACACAGGCTGGAGCTTCATTTGGGGAAAGGAAACCAAAGCCAAAAGAAAGTTGTCACAGGCTCCGAGATACTGCAGAGAGGACCTGGATCTTAAAACTTGTCATGGTTCTTGTGCCCGCAATTCTACTTCTGGGATCCTATTTAAGAAAATAATCTAAAAGGCATCAAGCATTTTATCCTTAAAACTGTGAAAACTGAAAACAATCTGAATGCAGAAAATACAGTAAATTATGGTGCAACTTGATACAGACTGATGAAAATATTTATAAAGAGGTTTGATGAGAAGAAAATGCTCATGTGGTAATGTTGAGTGAAAAAACCAAGCAATATATAAATGTAATTGCAAATACACGGCATGTATAGAAGAAAGACAAAAAAGATGTCAAGTATTTATATACTTCTGTATTTTCTAAAATTTCTACTGAGGGCATCTATGATTTTATACTCAGAAAAACAATTGATTATGAAGGAAAGAAAGCTTAGTCCATAGGGTGGCTGGGGAGACAGTTAAAAACAAAAACAAGTGGGAAACCAGGCCTGGACTTCGTTCCTCCAGCAGCCACACCCCCACACCCTGGCTGAGCACCTGCTTGGCCCTCCCGTGGCAGAGGCAGCGAGAGGTCAGTCGGGGGGGAGGTATGAACGCAGACGGCCCGCTCAGCAAACATGCCTCCCACCCCTCCAAGCTCAGGGCCAACTCGGCAGAACTGACCTGGTTGGCAAAGATGAGGGACATCCTGGTCCTGTCGCTGGGGTTCTTTGTGATGTGGCGAATGAGCTGCAGCATGGGCGTAATCCCTGGGACAGGAAGGAGCAGGCGGGACATGGCTAGTGGTGCTCCCTCCCGCTCCGGTACCCACGATCCCTGGTCTGCAGCCCCTTAACGCTCTGCCTCAGCCCCAGTCCTACTTCTCACATGCCTGCCCCCAAACTCAAAGTGGAAAACCGCCCTTCATTTTGGTTTTCCCTTCTAATGCAACAATAAATTGAAAGCCCTTTCTGATGTTCACGTGCAAGATGGAAGGAGCCCTGGCTCTGAACTGGCTAGTTTCACACTCAACCCCCTAGCCCGACTTGCTCTCAGAGCAGGGTGAGTCAGGTGTCCGTCTGAGCTCTTCGGTGTCCCCATGGTACAACAGAATGAATGACGAATAAGTGATCATTTCACAAGCGCCTGTGATGGTGCCTGGCACATCGTAGGTGTCCTGATACATCTGTTCTGTTCTCTCATTCACTCATTCTCAGGGGATGGGGAGATTCGGGCTTGACCTGCATCCAGGAGCCCTCGGGGGACCATGTGTGGGCTTACTCAGCTCGGTCCCCAGACTCTTCCAGGGGCCCCAGCCTGACTTCTGGGGCAGCCAGCATGCTGCATCAGGGGAGCAGGGCACATGGGGTCCGTTTCCAGGCCTGTCATCAACCTGCACTCCCCTCTAAAACAGCCATGGAAGAGTCTCCTCTAGGATCAAATTACTTCAAAGTACAAAAGGTCTTGGGGCCCCTCCCCCCATGGAGGAAGCCCCAGAAGTCTCTCACCTGTGCCCCCAGCGATCATTCCCAGGTGACTGACCAGCTTCTTTTCAGGCTCACTTGTTTTGTATGCCTTGATTGAAAAGTTCCCTAGAAACACAGAGGACCCCTCTGACTTCTGCAGCTCTTGCGTGAGAGCTTGTAAGAGGTCACGGGCTTCCCTTGGGACTCCCAGGAGGCAAGGCCACCCGAGGAAGGGGCCGCACCGTTCTCAACCAGAGAAGCGAGTCAGGGCAGCCCAGGGGCCATGGTGCACAAAGTGGAAACAGCCAAGGACTCGCTGGACCTTTTTTCTTCTGAGGGAGGAGGGAAGCACAGTGAAGTTAAATGGAGCCTCACAGAGCACTCTAAGCCACAGCATGAACGAGCGAGTCAGTGATGAGTATGTGGTAAGGAACGAGAGTGGATGCCATCCATCCGTCCATCCATCCATCCATCCATCCATGCTTCCACTGCTCAGCCTTACAGACACCTTTTCTGCATCGGGCATCGTTCTGGAGATCCAGTTTACATGAGGAAACACCCCAGCACTCCCCTACCTTAATGAAGCTTACAATCTCATCAAGTGTGTGTGTTGGAGTGAACGTACGAAGGCTTTAAGGACAAGTCCACAGGACCCAACCCTGAGAAGTTTTCTACAACAATAGAACAACCACAAGAATCTTCTTCCTTCCAGCGGGAGGCCCAATGTGAACCCCCCAGTACCTGGCTTATGATAGAACAGGCGACCGGTTGGCCCTCGAAAAAGGATGGTGTCCCCAATTTTCATATTCTCCAAGTACTGAGTCATCTTCCCCCCTTCTGGATAATTGGGGTGCACATTTTTGAAGTAGATCTGAAAAAGAAGGCAGCCTGGTTTCTACACCCTCAGACCAGAGGCCACAGCTGCACACAACTCAAAATTCCATTTGCTACTGGAAACCTTGAAGCAAACGTTCTCTGCCCTCACAGTTGCTCTAAGCACCCCTGAAGACTTCACCACAGCTTCACTGTTCCGTGACACTGCTGGAAAGCCCTTCCCAGGTCATGGGTTCCGTCCCCACCCTACCACCTTTCATAGGCTTGGGAGGGTGAGGCAGCTGGTGCCCCACTTACCTTTATAATCAAGTCCACAAAGCCTCGGTCATCATCACTGGACACCGGTGTGTAAGCCCTGACCACCAGAACACCATCAATTTTGGCCAAGAGATGGACATAGTTACCTACAGAAAAGGCATCCAATGCTAAATGTGAGCACAGCCAGCAAAACAGGCCCGGGATTCCCATAAAGGACTGAGCTTCAGGGAGGCAAGTGCCTAGCGTGGCAGGATGCATGGGAGCACGGCCAGGCAGGCAAGGGGCCCAGAGCCAGGATGCCTGGGTCCTAGGCCTGCCCTTGTCACTCCGCACACTACCCTGGGCAAGTCACTTCACCTCTCTGGGTGAGTGGGGATGACGTGCCTGCCCTGCCTCCATCCCAGTGGAGTTGTGAGCTTCACGTGAGTGCATGTTCCTGTGTCAGAGTCCTCTGTTGCACGGGAAGAGCTCATTTGGGTTGGAGGCTGAGTATTAAAAATAACAGAAAGGTGTGCTTCCCTTTTAAAGCAAAATACATTACCTTCACAAAGCCATTTCTTCCTGAACTGGGCGGATCGCTGGGGTCTGTGAAAGAACCACAGCCCCCTCTTCTGCTTCTTGCTGCCTGGCTCAGGGCCGGCCTGGGCTCACAGACACACTGGGCCCCGGAATTTGGACACCACAGACCAGGACTTCTAGAAAAAGAGCATTGTGTCTTCCTGGCCTATGGCTCTGCTTGAGGAAGAATAAAGTTCTGAGCCGCGGAATTCTGCCCCTCCAGGGTAGAACCGAATGGATCAGGCATGGCCACAGACCTATGGATCGGGACTACATCCCAGTGTCACAGGATGGGCGGGGCCGCTCAGGTCGCCGCTGGATCTTAAAGTGGGACACTTCGGTGACTACGAGGAATAGTGGTGCAGGCAGGAGCTGGTAGGGGACAGAGGCAAGAGGAAGCTCTGTGGTCTCTGAGGAGGCCCTGAAGCCTGAGGTGCAAACACTCCGGGTGAAGAAAGGACAGGCTCTATACTGAAATTAAACTGCAGGGAAGGGAAAGAAGAAAGGACAGGCTCAGTGACTCTGGCTATGGCCTGGCTGCGCATCAGGAACACGCAGAAATAAATGCCTGAGGCAGCTTCCACCTGAGAACAAATGTGAACCTGGAGACCTCAGAAAGGCTCCTTCAGATGCAGCCAACCTGGGCCTGGCCTGGCCATGTCCGTCCCGGAGAAAATGGGGCTGCCCTGGTGGGCCCCATTTCTCACCTGCTTCGATTCAGCTGAGCTGGGAGGCCCTCACAGCAGACTCTTCCAAAATCCCACTAACTCTGTACCCCCCACACCAGGGCAAAGGAGATGGGGGGGTCATGGCAGATTCTGAGAAATTCTGTGTCTCATCGTTTTTCATTCTTTTAGCCTTCTTGCCAATAGGCCTGACCCCACAGGCCAGGCAGAGGGCTAGAAGGCAGGCTGGTGCTGAGCTCTTGTGGATGGAGACAGGAAGAGGAAGCAGCAAGGACGCTCGGGGGCCAGGTGGGCTGCCTGGTGAGTAATTTCATGACCTGATAGAGGAGAGGTCAAGGTTTGGTCCTACACACAACAGGACAAGTAGGCATGGATTAGGGTCTCCAGCAGGCTGGCAAGCAAACTAGCAGTTTGTTCAAAGCTCTGAATCCCTAGGCTGGGGACCTAGCCGAGGTTTTCCCCCTCACTAAGACGGACTTGGGCGTCTAGTGGTGTTACAGACTAGAAATGGGATAACTCGGAACTCTAGGCCTGCTAGGGCTGGTATTCATGCTGGGTCCCTTCTTGTGTGGGTCTGAGGTCCCTGCTGAAAAGACACACTGCGTGGGAAGACACACCTGACTCCTTCCTGCCTCTCCACACATTCTGGGCCTTTCTCCTGACCGTAGGGGACATCAGTTCCTTCCATCCCTCACATGTACATAGCACTTTGCACGTTCTCAATTTTCACACCCATCAGTCACTTTACCCTCACAACAACCCAGGTGGCAGGCAGGCCTGGGAAACTCCATTTCATAGACCAAGGCTCAGAGAGGTTGAAGGACTTGCCTAAGGTTGCCCAGCAAGGAGCCTATGATGAGATCTTAGAGCTTCTGATTCTAGATTCACTTCTTTTCAGTGAGGAGACATCACTTCTGTGTCAGCCCAAATCGAACAATGAGAAAGGAAATGGACTGCCCCCAAGCCCATCTCTCTACATCTCTGAGCTGACCTGTCTTAGGAAAGGCAACCTCTCCACCCCAGCTGAGCTTCTGAGAGGAGCAGAGTGCTGGCAAGGCCCAGTCCCTGGTGATGACCCCAAACCCCACTCACCTACAGGAAGCCCCAAGACATGGTCTGGTGAGGGCAGTCCAAAGCGGAACCTCCGGGTGTTGTGGGTGATTTGCTATAAAACAGAAAACAGAGGCAGGCTCGGTCAGCTTTCGAGAAGCCTTTCTGGGCAATTCAAATGCCTGGTAAAGGAAAGGAGCTCTATTTGGTGCAATCCCAGCGTGCACACACACACACACACACACACACACTCGGAGGCAGTGGGAGCAAACTGGAGGCCAGAAAATGCCTGTCCCACTGCCCTGCCTTCCCAGCCAGCACATTCTCCACCACTCTCGTCCTCTTCTTTTTCACAGGCTGCCAGTGGAGGGGGTGGGCTGACTCCACTACCTCTTTCTCAATCAAGGGCAGCGGGTACTTGGTCTCAGAGTCCTGTAAGGTGGTATGTCTTCTCCGCGAGTTCATGTTCCTCAGGGCCAACAGGACCACTGTAACTCCAATGATGGTGATGGCAAGGAGCAGGGACGGGTCCTAGCCAGACACAATGTGAGCAGGGCGCCTCAGGTCCTGCCTGCCCTGGGCAGGACAGTGCTCAGGCACGACAGCACCCTCCCGACACCAAAGGCACAGGAGAAGCTGGGCCGTGCCCAGAAGAAACCAGACGGAGGGAAAGGTAATAAAACAGAATGCAGGGCGCCTGGGTGGCTCCATCCGTGGGGCATCTGCCTTCGGCTCAGGTCATAATCTCAGGGTCCTGGAATCGAGCCCCGCATCAGGCTCCCTGCTCAGAGGGGAACTTGCTTCTCTGCCTCCCTCTGCTCCCCCCCCCCACTTTGTACTCACTCTCTCTCAAATAAATAAATACATAAAATCTTAAAAAAAAAACCCAAAAAACAGAATGCAGGCTGAGCCTATGGTGGATCTGGAGGATAGGGAGGAGTCAGCTGCAGATCAGACAGGGCCAGGCAGAATTAATGTCACCAGGCCCTTCCTACCCATCGGCCTCCAACCTGGTACATCCAGGGGTACAAGGGTGAAAGTCCTGGGAGACCCCTCCTTGAGGTGATGGCATTGCTGCTTCTGCTTCTTTTTTTTTTTTTGAGAGAGAGTGGACTGGGAGTGGGGGGCTGTGGAAAGGAGAGAGACTTCCAAGCAGGCTCCACGCCCAGCGTCTGAGTCTGATGAGGGGCTCGATCCCAGGACTTTGGGATCATGCCGGAAGCTTAACCAACTGAGCTACCCAGGCACCTTTGGTGGCACTGCTTCTAACCCACAATCTAAAATGAACGTCGCAGGCCCCAAGGACAGATCTGCAGAGGGGGGATAGGCACGGTGTCCTCCAGCAGGTAGTTGCGGCTGAGAGCTAGGCAGGGCATGCGGCTCGCCACCCCCACTACTCCCCCGACCAGGTTCAGGCGGGTTGGGGTGGGGGTGAGCACCTCCGACTTAGGGGTGCTCCATTACCTCAGCGCCTCGGGACACACCAGCACCCTCCTAGGCAGGCGAAGGAGGCCTGGCCACTCACTCGCCGCCACTCGGGCGGACTCCCGCCCCCGTCCCCAACCCCGCCCCGCGGCCCGCTCCGCCCGCCCGCCCCGGGTCCGACCCCAGCCTGCCGCGGCGGGACCGGGGATGGGCCGCGGCGCCCCGCTCGCCGCCACACCACGCCTGCCCCGCCGCCGCTCGGCGCCGCCCCGCTCCCCGCCCCTCGCGGCCCCGCCCGGCCCACGCCCTCGCCCTCGGCCTGACCCGCCCAGCCGGCCCGGGACCCCGGCCGACTGCCGCCGCCTCGTCCCGCCGCGCCCCGGGCACCCACCCGGAACGAGGCGCCGAACATATCGTCGAAGCGGGGCTGGCTGCGGGGCCGCGGCGCGTCGGGCCGACTCGTGGGCGCGTCCGCAGCTCCGCCTGGCGGACCGGGAAGCCTGGCAGACGCGCGGGCCGACGCCGGGAGAGCGCTAGGCCGGCCACGCGCGTCCGGCCCCTCCCGCGCGCCCCGCTCCCCCCGCCCCCGCCCGCGCCGCCCCCGGCCCCCGTAACCCCTCCCCGCGCCCCGCTCCCCCCGCCCCCGCCCGCGCCGCCCCCGGCCCCCGTCACCCCTCCCCGCGCCCCGCTCCCCCCGCCCCCGCCCGCGCCACCCCCGGCCCCCGTCACCCCTCCCCGCGCCCCGCTCCCCCCGCCCCCGCCCGCGCCACCCCCGGCCCCCGTCACCCCTCCCCGCGCCCCGCTCCCCCCGCCCCCGCCCGCGCCGCCCCCGGCCCCCGTCACCCCTCCCCGCGCCCCGCACAGCCACACGCCCTCGCGGCCCGCCGAGCTCCTCCCCCGCGCGACTCGCGCCCTGCCGCGCCCGGCCCGCGGGGTGCCACTGCTGGGGTCCCCATCTCCTGTTTATTCGTGGCCCCCTCTCCCCGCACTCTCGGAGCAGCCCAGATGGAGAACTTCCTCTCTGCACCTGGTCCGAGCTGTGCCAAGGTGGGAGAAAGGGAGGGGCGTCCGGGTGGGAGGAGGGGATGCTGGTGAAAGAAATGGGAATTTAGGCCAATTCAGAGAGCACATGAATATAATCGCTCAACGCGCGTAATGAGCTCCTACTGTGGGCCTGGTCTAGCGCTGGGTGTTTGCCCGGATGGGGGCGTCATGGAGTTAAGACATTCGTTCAAAGCGTTCATTCACTCCTTCATTCATTCTCTACTGGGAGGGAGAGACGACCGGTACCCAACACTAGACCAACAGGAGGCAGAATGGCAGGCATCGACCGACGGTTATGGGGGTTCTTCGCAGCACATTTCAGAACCTTGATAACCCCCCTCCCCCCATCAGTTCTCCCCTTGCCAGTGGTAAAGGTAAATCCCTGCCTCCTGGGCCTGAGGGAGACAGAGAGGCCAAGAAATAGCCAGCCATCCCCAGCCCCCAAATACACACCAGCACAGGCATATACTTAGTGGACATCTCCCCTAATACTTGCAGGTACCAGGATATTATTGTTACATATCTTAATTATTGACAGTCTAATAAATGTAAAATGATGGCTCGTGAACCTAATATCATTTACCTAAGAGCTGAGGAGGTTGAACATCCTTCATATGTTCATTCCGCATGGTGGTTTTGGTTTTTTTTTTTTCCGGAAAAAAAAAAAAATGCCTGCTCATGACTTGCCCCTTTTTCGCTTGAGTTGAATTTTTCTTACTAATTTTTAGGAGTCTTGTGTGTATTAGAGACCACTTCTTTGCCAGTTATATCAGTTACAGATATTTTCTCCTGGTATGCAACTTCTTCCCTCCCTTCCTTCCTTCCTCCCTCCCTCCTCTCCTTCTCTCTTTTCTCTCTCTCTCTCTCTCTGGCTTTTGATGAATAGCAGCAGTTTATAATTGCAATGTAGTCAAATGTATCAATCTCCAATCTTTTGCCTTTATGGTTAGTGCTTTCTGTGACTTGTCTGTTCCTATGAAAGATCATAAAGATATTCTCTTTTTTCTGACAAGACTTAAAGTTTTTCCTTTAACGTTTAAGTCTCTCAACCACCTGGAACTGATTTCTGTATAGGATGCAAAGCAGGGATCCAACTTAATTTTTTCCATGTGGATAATGTGTTGTCTCCGTAATATTTGTTGACTTGCTCACCTGGTGGCTAACGTGCAGTGTCACCCCTGTCATATATCAGTCTGCATGTAAGCAGGAGTCTGGTTCTGGTCTCCCTGCTCTCTTTTGATCTCATTGCCCAACCCCTCTGCCAATACCACACTGCTCTAATTACAGTCGTTTATTACGACTGTTTATACCTTTCCCTCGTACATTCTTTGGGTCTCAGTTCAAATACCACTTCTTCCTTAGAGATGCCTGATCGAATCCCCCAATTTAAGTAGATGTACATTATATTCTATTCATGGCTTTTACTTCAGTTTGTAATTATACATCCTGTATGTTTAATTGTTAAATGGCTGATTCTCACATTAGTCTAGATGTTCCATTATGGCAGAGATGTTGTTTCTCCAGGGCTGAACACAGTGAGTGTCACACAGAGAACATTCAATAAATAGATAACAAATGAATGAATGAATTCCTCTCTGCCCTGCCACATTTCGCACACTGCCTGGCACACGACAGATGCTCCAGAAATGCTCAAGAGAAGAACAGTCGTTTCTGTCAGTGTCCCCTTTTTTGCTTAATTTGTCTTCATAAAACATGTCAGCAGATGACATACTATGTATATTATCTACTTGCTTACTCTTTCCCTCTACTACGATGTAAGCTCCATGAGGCCAAGACTTGCTGTGTTTTTGGTTTTGTTTTGTTTTTTTTTTAAGATTCTATTTATTTAGTTGACAAGAGAGCAAGAGAGCACAAGCAGGGGGAGCAGCAGAGGGAGAAGGAGAAGCAGGCTCCCCCTGACCAAGGACCCTGATGAGGGGCTCGATCCCAGGACACTGGGATCGTGCCCTGAGCCAAAGGCAGATGCTTAACTGACTGAGCCACCCAGGTGCCCCGGGACTTGCTCTGTTTTAACTCCTGTTGTTTCCCAGGCCTCAGAATAGTGCCTGGCAATTGGTAGATGCTCAATAAATATTTAATGAATGAATGAATGGGTGAATGAAGAATGAACTTAATTTTCTCCCTCCGGTTCAATCAACTCTTTCTTTTTGGCTTTGGAATCATTGGGCACCTCCGTTTTTCCTGTGGCTCTCTGAGCAGTTGCCTCTACCCCCCATTCCCCCTTCTCTTTTTCCCTCCGTGTGACCAGAGAGGTAGCAGCCCATCCCCCTTTGTTACCCTTCTAGCAGGATAAGAGGCAGGCATTTGTCTGGGCTCCCAGTAATTCTGAGAAGGCAATGCTTGCCCTCTCTCCTCAGCACCCCTGCACACTCTAGATGCGCCCCTTGCATGCCCACGTTCTGCCTGGTTTGGCTCATCTTTTACTCCTCTCCTGAAATAGACCGTGAGCACACGTCTCACTCTCTACATCTGCGGCTTGGTAATAGGGCCTGGCAAAGAGGAGGCGCTCAGCAAGTGTTTGCTGAAAAAAGAAAGAATGAGTATCTGCTGTCACTGTTTTAGGATGTATGAGACTCTGCCCCATAAGACAGCTTCTCAAGAGAGGGGCCAGCCGCCCTCACTGCTGAGACTCCCTGGGGGGACTGATGCTGTTGCCAAGTCAGAGCTCCCTGAGCCTTTGCTCTCTAAACAGTGTCTGGGCTGCTGTGGGCTTTTCATTAGCTTTTTGACCTTGAAAATGATTTCTTCCCATTTCGCCTCTGAACAAATGACCACCTCTGAGGTTCTAGCTATTAAGCCTACATTGTGGTAGGTTGGATAATGACCTTCCCCAAACAGGCCCACATCCTAAATCCCAGAACCCATGAATGCTGCCTTATGTGGCAGAAGGGGCTTTGTTGCTGTGAGTGACCTAAAGATCTTGAGAGGGGGAGACTATCCTGGGTTGTCCGGCTGGGCCCACTGTAATCACAATATTCCGTACAAGAGGGACGCCGGAGGAGACCAGAAGGCAATACGATGCCCGACACAGCACGTGGAATGACCATCTTGAAGATGGAGGGAGGGGCCACAAACCAAGGAATGCAGGTAGCCACTGAAGCGGAAAACGGCAAGAGAAAGGATTTCTCCTGAGAGCCTTTGGAAGAGACCAGCCCTGCCGATACCTTGACGTTAGTCCGCTGTGAAACTGATTTTACACTTCTGGCTTCCAAAACAGTAAGAGACTAATACATTTGTGCTGCTTAAAGACAGCAAAGTTGTGGTAATTCATGATAGCAGCAATGAGAAACTAATACACTAAATGAACTATTATTTTTGTCTCATCGGGCTTGTTTCTTTATACTTGGATTTATTCCAGAAACAGCTTTCCTGGGATTTGGATCAGAAAAGCCAGGAAGTGCTCCTCCCCTCTGGTGCCTGATGTTCTTGTTGCTCTGTGTGACTCCTTTCTCCTGCAAACCACCTCCCTCAGCAGCCTCCACGCTGCTGCTGGCCCTGTCCTCAGCTCGTTTTCCCTGCCAGGCCCCATGAGCAGCCCATCCACTCCATCCCTTCCTCCTCAGCCTGGCTCTGGCCTGTCCTTTGGGCATTGTGCACAAATTCATCCTGAACAAAGGGTCCCAGCAGCCCAGTCCAGGCTTGGGGATTGTCCTCAGCTTGACTGGGCTGAGCGTTATGAGAGAACACTGACGGAACACCTCACCCACTCCAAGCACCCAATGCCATGACCAAGGTAAAACCTTGCTTGAATTGGAGTTTCCTTGGTTTTCCTCTTCAAGGATTTTAAGCTAGAGTGTATTGATACCACCTGATCAGAATTCCCTACTGTGCCCTACAGGTGGGCAGAGAGTGATAGTAACACTTTGCTTTCTGGATCAGCTTCAACCTCGATTTGTATAACAGAAATATGGCATGGGAGACCTTGCACGCACCTGGTAATCGGGGGCTGACATGGGCTGATGGAGTAAGACTGTATAAAGGTAAGAGTCTTTTTTTTTTAGTTCAGTTATCCAACATAAAGTACATCATTAGTTTTTGGTGTAGTGTTCAACGATTCATTAGCTGCATGTAACACCCAGTGCTCATCACATCACGTGCCCTCCTTAATGTCCATCACCCAGTTACCCCAGTCTTGAGACACCGGGAATGGGCAGAATTTGCAGAAACAGTGTCAATGTCTTCATCTGTAAAATTAGGGTCAATAATACTACCTATTTCTCAGATTTCCTGAGAGGATTATAGGAAATAATGCATATAAAGGGTTTGGCCTGGAGTAAATAATAAATGCTAACTCTTACTAGCTTTTACCTATACGATCAATAGAGTTAGGGACCTGGGAGTCATTTTTTGTATGTGCGATTTTTTTCTTTCCTCCATTTTACACGTAATTGGTCATCCGAGCTTGTTGATGCCGTGAACACAGTGTTTGTTGAACCTGTTTTGTTCCCTCCTGTCACTCTTGTAGTCCCCATCGTAGTTGGGCTCTTGTGTCTATGCGTCTCCTCAACTGTTTCCTGCCTCCACTCTCTCCCTCTATCCACTGGCATCCTGTTGACTTTTGCCAGATTAAATTTTCTTTAATACGGGTCTGATTTTTTTCTCTTCTGCGCTCAAATGGCAATCATTCCCATCCTCCGACTACAAGACAGAGTCTAGCATTCTTTCTACCAAAATAAGGCCCTTCACAACTAGGACCTAAGCTGTAATTTTAAATAATCTCCCGTCAGTTCCCCTGTCAAAGCACCAGACACACACAACTGCACTTTCTACCCTGAATATCCCTCTGCTTAGTCTTTCTGATCCTTTGCTCATGCCAGTTTCCCTCAATGGAATGCCTTCCCTTCTCTTTTTACCTGAAAAACTTCTGATTCTCGTAAGACCCAGCAGAAATGTCTAATCCTTAGCTAAGCCTTCCCTGCCACTCCTAGAAGACACTCCCTACGCTGTGCTCCCTCTGTTGCAGCATTTACCGCCTTGTACTGGGCAGCTGAACATGCCTCTCAAATCCTATGGGAGAAATCAGGGATTGGGCGTTACTTGCTTTTGCACCCCCAGCGCTAACTGCAAGTCTGGTGAGAAGATGGTGCTCAGTGATGACTTGTGCATGACCATATGAAAGAAGGAATGAAACAAGTGATGGGTCATACGGTAGGGAAGGGGGTCATAGCACCAGAATGGTGTAGAACTACCACCAGGTCTCCAAGATAGGTGATGTGGGGGCAGGGGAAATCTCCAGGCTTATTTGAACAAGGTGTGGGCTCCATCTCACTTAGCAGGTGTGTGACTCTGTCACTTCGATTTTATAAGCCTCAGTTTCTTTTTCTGGGTGCGGGGTAAGCGTCCTCCTCTTTTCACACCACACGGGCAGTGTGAGAAGCAACTGACGGAAGGTGCGTGAGGACGGAGTCTGGGAAGGACTGTAGAGCTGTAAGGTTCCAAGGACCTTGTGTGAGGGCTCATCACAGCCCTGGATGATGGCCCCCGACAGCCCCGGATGACGGCTCCCGTGGCTGTGCGCACCCTGGAGGCAGGCAGCCCTGGGCCTCTCTCAGACGGACAGGCGGATGAACAGACCTACTGAACTGAAGCTGACTTGCCAGCCACAATGGTGCCGAGCCATATTCCACAGTGGTGCTGTAGGAGGCGGGGGGAGTACAATGTGCTTGATGGACCTTCTCTGTTAGATGAAAGGAGCCTTAACTAGACCCAGTGAGGAAGGGAGGCACATGGAATTTGGGTGCTTGAACTCCCCTCCAGGGGAAACAACCTGAAGTTGGGGTAGCTGGTCACCACGTGGGATGGTGTCTGACTCACCCTTGTGTTGCAAGTGCCCAGCATGGCACCAGGTGGATGTGGGCCTCAGGGGGTATTTCCTAAGTGACTATTGTTCATTCTACAGTCTTGTTGGGGCTGGAAACAAGGAAAGGCTGGCCTACAGACAACTCTTCTGTAGGTTTCCAGGAAAAGAAGAGGGCCTCCATTGTGAAGCTAGACACAATGGACAGACTTGGCATTGGCTCTGGAATCCTCCCATTTCTCTAACTTGCAAAGGGAAAGAAAATTCAGTCCAGATCCCGCACTCCATGCCCACAACATATATGGCCGACTGCTGGTTAGTGTTATGAACCTGAAGATCTAGCCGTCACAATGACATGCTAGTGGCCAGGCTGGCTGGACAGAAGGGAGGCTCCCGGGGCTCTTACTAAGGGGAGTCTTTGGCCCAATCATGATTCTCGCATTCACCACCCAGGCAGCTGCATGCTGTTCCCTGGAAAATGAGAGGAAAAGGAATCTCCGCTATGGCCTCATTAAAATAGGTGGGGTTAGGAGGTGGCTCTCTAAGGGGCCCTGGGATCAGAGGGATAGCAAGGCCACCATTTGGGCTATCTCAATGAAAGCAACAGCCATCCCTCTGGCAGGAGAGCAAGGCTCTGGAGAATATTTTCCCTTCTGTGTATGTAAAAGATTCTAGGGCTCAGAAGCATGAAGCAATCTGCGTGAGGTCACTCGATGAGTTACGAGCTCTAATGGGAACGTAATCAAGTCTTGCAATTTCATCTGTAATGTCAGCACAGATTACAGCTGTGCCTGTCAGTCGTCTGCAGGACCTGTCTCTGAGGCACAGTCCCCAGCCCCTGATCATCTGGCCTGTCCAGGTCAGCTGAAATGACTCAGTAGGGTGCAGAGGACATAGGTGCTGTAAAAGAATGTATCTGTCTTCTAGGGCGCCTGGGTGGCTCAGTTGGTTAAGCGACTGCCTTCGGCTCAGGTCATGATCCTGGAGTCCCTAGATCGAGTCCCGCATCGGGCTCCTTGCTCGGCGAGGAGTCTGCTTCTCCCTCTGACCCTCCCTCCCTCATGCTCTCTCTCTCTCTCATTCTCTCTCTCTCAAATAAATAAATAAAATCTAAAAAAAAAAAAAAGAATGTATCTGTCTTCTAAAATAAAAACAAAAGCTCTGTAAAATGACCAAACGTTAGATAGTGTATTTAAAAAACAAAAAACAATTTAAGCAAGGGGTGCCTGGGTGGCTCTGTTGGTTAAGCGGCCGACTCTTGATTTCGGCTCAGGTCATGATCTCATGGTTCTAGGATGAAGCCCCGCGTCGGGCTCTGCTCAGCGTGGCATCTGCTTGTCCCTTTCCCTCCTCCTCTGCTTCTCTCCCCCTCCCCTCTGCCTTGGGCTCTCCCTCTCTCTCTCTCTCTTTCTCTCAAATAAATAAATAAAATCTTTTTTTAAAAAAAAGATTGAAGCAATATACAAAATTAGGAAACTAGAAAATCATGCAAACACAGAAGGTATTAATTATTAAGGAAATGTTCTGTACAACTCAAAGCAAGTAGTAGGAAAATCTGAATGTTATAGCTATTAGTAGGAGATTATAAATTATCAAAATTGACTGAAAGAGAAAATTTTAAACCTAAAAGCCAATAAGAATGAAGGAAATTGAGAAAGTTACCTTTAAGCCTTCAAGGAATAGATGCTTAGTATATGTAATTGCATGACATCATTATAATCATTCCTATGTTCTAAATCGTGTGCAAAGCATAGAGCAAGAAGGAAAGTTCCCCAGTTCTTTTCATGAAGAACACTGATATCAAAGTCTGACAAAGGCAGACAATAAAAAGAAAGCTATAGGTCAGAGTTCTTAAACTTATTGGTCACAGGACACCTTTACACTTTGAAAAAAATCACTGAGAATCTTAAAGAACTTTTGTTTATGTGAGTTGTATTTATCAACAGTTAACTATTAGAAATTAAAGCAGAAACTTTAAAAATTATGTATTTGCTAATTTATTTAAGATAATCATAATAAAACATTAGGCATTAGCATAAATAACATGTTTATTCAAATAACTACATTTTCTTTTTTTTTTTTAAGATTTTATTTATTTATTTGAGAGAGAGAATGAGATAGAGCATGAGAGGGGGGAGGGTCAGAGGGAGAAGCAGACTCCCTGCTGAGCAGGGAGCCCGATGCAGGACTCGACGCTGGGACTCCAGGATCATAACCTGAGCCGAAGGCAGTCGCTTAACCAACTGAGTCACCCAGGCGCCCAAATAACTACATTTTCCAAAACAGAAACTCTAAATAAGACTTGCACTGTTTCACATATTTTTTTTAAAGATTTTATTTATTTATATGAAAGAAATAGAGACAGTGAGAGAGGGAACACAAGCAGGGGGAGTGGGAGAGGGAGAAGCAGGCCTCCTGCGGAGCAGGGAGGGAGCCCGATGTGGGGCTCGATCCCAGGACCCTGGGATCATGACCTGAGCTGAAGGCAGACGCCCAACGACTGAGCCACCCAGGCACCCGTGTTTCACATATTTTTAAAACTTTAATATCTGGCTAAACAGAAGACAGACGAGATGTCCTATCTGCCTTTTTTTTTTAAAGATTTTATTTATTTATTTATTTGAGAGAGAAGAGGGGGAGGGGGCGAGCGACAGGGGGCAGAGGGAGAGGGAGAAGCAGACTCCCAGCTGAGCCGGGAGCCCCACATGGGGCTCTATCTCAGGACCCTGAGATCATGACCTGAGCTGAAATCAAGAGGTGGATGCTTAACCAACTGAGTCACCCAGACGCCACCTATCTGCTTTTTATATTCAATCTGTTGAGCTGTCACATGGTGTGTGGCCCCTGGAAAACACCACACACACTGTGAGAGAATGAGATTAGACAGGAAGAATGATGTCTTAGTATTACTATGAAAATAGTTTGACCTCACAGACCCCCTAAAAGGATCTTGGAGATCCCCAGCCATCTAAAGGCCACATTTGGGGGCACCTGGGTGGCTCAGTCATTAGTCTTCGGCTCAGGTCATGATCCCAGGGTCCTGGGATCGAGCCCCGCATCAGGCTCCCTGCTCGGCGGGAGGCCTGCTTCTCCCTCTCCCACTCCTCCTGCTTGTGTTCCCTCTCTTTCTGTGTCTCTCTCTGTAGGACAAATAAATAAAATCTTTAAAAAATAAAATAAAGGCCACATTTTAAGAGCCTCCGCTATCAGTCAATTTCAATTATGGATGTTGATACAAAAATCTAAGTGGAATATTAAACAGAACCCAGCAGTACATTGAAGATGAATGTACCATGCCCAAGTGGGATTCATTTCAGAAATGTAGGAATATTAGGAAATCTATTAATTAAGGTTTTAAGATATTAATAAATCAAAGGAGAAACCATTTAATCATTTTGAAAGATGCTAAAAAATATTTCACAAAATTTAATACTTTTTCTGATTAAAAAATCCTTGGGAGGGCCATGATAAAATGTCTCTAATTGCCAGCCTCGCGTTTAATTAAAATAAACTAGAAGCACAGTATGAAGGGGCAGAACTTTCCTGAACACTCAGGAACTCAAGTTCTGCCTGGCAAGTGGATTCCCCATAATGGTGGTGAACAGGGACGTGGCAGCAGACCCTGATGGATATCAGAGGTAGTGGCTGAAGAATTAATGATCAACCAGCTTAAACCATCAGCACCTACCCTGTTCCACTGTCTTAGGTGTACTTACATTCTGGTGAAGCATCAGGTGGCAGTGACTACCCAGGTCTTCCCAAAGATAGTTCCTTTGCAGAGATGCCTGGTGGCGATCTGCAGGCTGAGCTGCCTCCTTGCCTCCTACAGTCTGGCTGGAAAGGAACCTGGGAGGGTCGGGGCAAGCAGCTCTGCAAATGTTACCAGGGAAGGGGCCAGGAAAACCCATCCTTATTACCCATGGATTCTCCTCACCATCAAGCCCAGATTGTAAGCTCTGAGTATCTCTCTTGTGCCGGGCACTTTAATAGACACCTGGGAGTGATGAGAAATGCTTATTGTAGTCTAGAGAGAGGAAAAAAATACATATGTTACCAGAAGGGGGTATATCACCCAAGAGTAAAATACTGAGCTCATCTCGACTCCCCCCTGTTTTTTGCTCCAACTCTCTGGTCTCCAAACACTTTAGATTCCAAATCCGCAATATATCTCACATCCATCTTCTACCTTTGAGCTTAAGTCTTCAATATTGCTCACCAGGACTACTCCCCCAACAAGTAATCTTTCCCTATCCTCCTCACACTCCCAAATTAACCACCAAAAAGTGTTCTTTGATCACGTCACTCCCCAATTAAAACCATCGAAGGGTCCCCCACAGGGTGTAGAATAATGGTGACATTATTCTTATGGGCCCAAATCAAACGCCAGTTTTCTGTCTCATCCAGAAGTTATTTCAGTATTTTTTGTATTAAGTTTTTCTGTACACTTTTTTCTTTTGTTGTGAATTTTATTGACATATAACGCATGCACAGAAAAATACTCAAGTAATAAAGTACTTTGAATTTTCAAAAAGTATCACCAGAACCCAGGTCAGGAAACAGTTTAGCAGAATCCCACCAGCAGCCCTTCCAGACACTACTCCCCAAAGGGTAACTGCTATCCTGACATCTACTACCATATAGTAATCTTGAGTGATTTTAGTATTATGTAAATGGAAATCATTCAGTATCTGCTCTTTATTTGTCACCTAATTTGTACACATAATTTTCATTATTAGGATATAAATTACTTGAACAAAGGTGCTGTATCTTGTTCCTCTTTGCACCTCCTCCCCCGTGCCCTGGGCTCTGGTATGGAGATTTGTATAGAGAAGGCATCAGATGAGAAACAAGCCAATGTGACAGATGTCGACAATGAATGAATATAAGTGAGGGAAACAGGAGTTCAATGTATTATTCTTTCACCTATTCTGTAGATTTGCGACATTTCAAAAGAAAAAATTGAAGGACAAAATTGCTTACTGAATGATTTAAGTAATCCAGGTTAGGGGTGTATTTAAAACAGGGCACATGTAAACTGTTTTTCTTGTTCTTCCTAAGTTTTTATGTATAAAGGAAAAGGGCCCTAATGTGTGAGTTCAGTGCCAGAAAATCAGGAAAGTCTCTCTTATTGAGGTCTTCAGGGGCTATTTGTGGATTATTTCATTTTATTCACCAAATATTTATTTGGCATCTGCCGTGTTCTGAGCACTGCAGTAGGTGCTGGGGATAGAATGCCGAATAAATCTTGCTGAGCATTGTAATGAGACTCCTTAGAAAAATCTGTACTTGGTTTAGGCTGGGAAAAATGGCTCTGCTGAGTGCACCCCCAGGGTGGTCAAGAGAAGGAGCCCCTGCAGCCGCCCTTCACAAAGATGTTCTACCTAAGGCGTCCGTGCATCACGAGGTCCAAGAATCCAGAACAAAAAGACTCAGATTGCTTTTATTCCTTCTCATTAAAAGGAATATTCTCTCTCCACACTCTATTCTATGTTCCATGTATCAGACACTTTATAAAACTAAAAAAAAAATTAAAAATAAGGCACTCAAATTTTCTCTTGGCAAACTTTCAAAATGGCAAACCATACAAGTTTCTGGGCCCCCTCCTCTGCTCGCTCCGCTCACCATGTTTTCCACATGGACCAAGATGTTGCACGCGGATGTCAGTGGATGTCACTGAATAAACAAGGATGTCAGTGGATGTCACTGAATAAACAAGGAAAAGAGAAGGCCCAGTGCTTCTCGATGCTCACTGGCATTAACACGGAGTGGGATACTCACTCACTTTTCTTAGGGGACAGATCTCGTGGGTCAGACCCCAATATGGCATACTAGTTAGCCATTTCCACTAAATGAATCAATTTAGATGGGAGTCTTGCTTCTCAGGACTGGAAATATTTCAGTGTTGCTTTGAGCAAAATGGACAATGAGCTAGTCTGCCCCACACAGCTCTGCGTGCTGGCTTTCTGGATGTGTCAACTTGGCTAAGCCACAGCCTCCGGTTATTCCATCAAAACCAATCAAGGTGTTGCTGTAAAGGGATTTAGCAGATGTAATAAAAGTCCCTAATCCATTAACTTCAGCTAAAGGAGATCATCCTGGATAATCTGGGTGGGCCTGACTTAATTAGTTGGAAAGGCCTTAAGAACAGAGCTGAAACTTCCCCCAAAAAGAGAAGAAATTCTGCCTGGGGCACAGTACCTTCAGCCCGTGCCTGGGGGGTTCCAGTGTCCTGTGATCTTCCCTTTCTGACTGCCTGCCCGATGGATTTAATTGCTTGGTCACCCCCCACAGCCACATCAGCCAGTTCCTGGTGTATTTGCTTGCTAGGCCTGCTGTAACAAAAAAACACAAACCGGATGGCTTAAAAGACCAGAAATTTATTGTATCATGGTTCTGGAGGCTATAGGTCTGAGATCAAGGTGTTAGTAGAGTTGGTTCCTTCTGAGGGTGGTGATGGTGCCTCTCCCCAGCTTCTGCAGGTTTGCTGGTGATCACTGGGGTTCCTTGGCTTGTAGATGGTGCATCACCCAGTCTCCACCTTCATGTTCATTTACGTTCTCTCTCCACATCCAAGTTTCCCTTTTTATAAGGACACCAGTCATATTGGGTTAAGGTCCACACTAAGGACTCCATTTTGACTTGATTACCTCAATAAAGACTTTTGCTCCAAATAAGGTCACATTCTGGGGTACTAGAGGTTAGCACTCCAACATATCTTTTTGGGATTCTTTGGTTGAACCCTGGCTGATATGCTCTGTGGGTATCTCTCAGTCACATTCCCCATAAAAGCTTACCAGAAGCATTGTGGTCTTCAGGTAGTACATTCCATGTCTCCAAAAACATCGACTCGTCCTCTGATCTGGAGATGTTTAAATCTGAGTGCAAGCATACACAATTGCTCAGATCACACACACAGGGCCAGTGTTTGGGACTTACCAGAAAATTATTATTGTGAGAATTCTGGGGCATCTCAGTCAGCTGGACTATGGGTATTTTAACTGAAAAGTGGAGTATTTTAACTATAACCCAGGTTTGCCATAAGCAGCTGCTTGTCTAACAGGTATGAACAACTTGAGGAGCCAACACCCGGCTTTGTAGGATTTGGGCAGAATGCTCAGGGACGTGAGGATGGAGGGGGTTGTGTTGTCCATGTGCCTAGGTACTGGGGGTTGGTGAAGACATTTCACATTTCCAGGCCTCTGTTCTGTGTCACACACTTGCTCGTGGCCAAGTGCACCTGATCTGATGGATCCTCACTATATTCTTAAAAGGCATGTATTCTCCCATGGTAAAGTGAAGAAAAGGAGTCTCAGATGACTCTCAGATCACACATCTAATAAGGATAGGCCATGATTCAGACATAGTGTCAGTCCTCATTCTGCATGGATTCCACGTTTGCAAATTCACCTACTCCCTAACATTTATTTCTAACTCAGAATGAATGGTGTTTTCATGATCATTCAATGACAAATGCAGAGCAGTGAAAATTTTGAGTCACCCGATGCGCATGTTCCTAGGTGAGGTCGAACGAGGCAACGCTCTGCCTTCTTGTTTTAGCTCTCATACTATTAACAAGCGTCCTTTCCATGGTCTGTTGAGTGCCATGGGGTTTTTTGCATCCCTGTGCTTTTTGTTGGTGATTTTGCAGTTTGAAATGGCCCTAAATGTAACATAGGACTGAGGTGCCATCTGGTGTTCGTAAGGGCAAGGAGGCTGTGATATGCCTTGGGGAGAAAATACGCGTGATAAGCTTGTTCAGGCTCGAGCTATAGGGCTGCTGGCTGTGAGTTCAGTGTGAATGAATGAACAAGATATATTGGAGAAGGTGACTTTAAACAGAAACACACATAAAACCAGAGACTCCCAGGAACCTAACTCCATACTTTCCCTAGAAGCCTTGGGTCAGTAGTCACTGATTTGATGTTCATGGTGACTTTATAGAACCGAGCTGCTGCAACTACTGAGAACCCACTGTATCCACGTTGGGCCACAGAGGCTGCCCTTTCCTACCACATTAGGAGGATTGGAGCTGGGACCCAAGAAGCTGATGCCTCTGTCTTCTTACCTGTTTCGGGGATGAAAGAGACTGTAGCCTGAAAGCCTCTGAAGGTCACATTGTCATCCGACTGGAAGCTGATGAGCATTACACCAGAAGAGCTCAGCACGGGGGCGGGGGTAACAAAGCCACACAACCGAGCTGGGTAAAGCCCAGCCCAGGCAAGACGCGGTCGAGGGCCCAGCAAATAGACGTGACATTGGAGAGAGAGAAAAAAAGTTGTCCTTTAGGCAACTGTTGAGAAATAAACTTTTTTGTTGGGTGTCCCAATTCGTTTTCAAAATAGAAGGGCAGTTTGCTTCTTTTTAATAGGTATTGACCTCCAGCAATGCTTCAGTTCTGTTTATCTCCCACACACTCCCACTGGGAACGCCCCTGAGGGAACTGGTTCGAGCCACAGGGCTTATTTCAATGGCACTTGCCCCTTCTGACCCCTAGATGGCTCTCTGGTCCTCGCTCCCGCTCTTCCTGCCCCTGACCTGGGAGAAGGGGGGGTGGTCGTGAGCACCTAGGGACAGAGGGAGGGGGCGCAGGGCAATGAAGGAAGCTGGAGCCGGATCCTTTTTATTCCCGAGAAGGATTCGCCCAAAGGGACTGGATCCAAATGCAAACCAGGGGAGCCGAGGCTCCGGGGGGCGGGGGGCACACACCTATTTCCTCCTGCCTTTCCACGTCTCTGTACACAGACACGTGGTCAGAAGTGCAGTCCCCACTTTCCTCTACTTCCAGACTCTGAAAGGAAAGCTGACAAGACTCCGTGTTATATACAGAGCAAATCATATGAACGAATGACCTGATTTTGAGTAAGCAGAGAAATTTGGATTGCTCAACTTGCTTTGGGATGTGAACGGGACATTCATGAGTGGGTTAAATTACTTAGGAAAAGAGACTCTACCACAGACTGCCCCACCCCAGACACATCTCAGCTACCAAATAAGGGCCCAGGCCGCACAAGGGTGGGGAGAAGTGCAAATGTTTGAGCTCCCTGGCGCCCTCCCACGAAGAGCAAACAAACAGCAAAGAACAAGCCGAGCAATTTGCTAGCACCTGGGGCCTTCAATGGACTTTAAAGAGAGGAGCAGTGGGAGATAGGGCTGATGAGGTAGGAATTCAGATTTTAAACAGACAAATGATGGGGATTCAATGGAGACTGACCACTCGGAGAGAGACACAGAGGGCTGCGTGGAGGGGACAACATGGAGGTAAATGATCACTAGTGGTGAATGTAGGCACGGGGAGAAGGAGAGGGTCAGAAACAGGATTCATTCAAACATTTCTAAACCCTTACTGCGATGCTTTCCGGAAATAGACCCTTTTCTCTCCGAGGAACTATGCACATGGTTATGCCTTGTAATCCTAATTTCCCAGTTCCTCTTGGAGGGGTCCTGCACTATGATGCTGTCACTGCAGGGGGGGACAACATCATGCCACTCATGCATGGCACTCAGTACACACAGATCGAAAGGGTGGTCTTGAATCCCATCAGCTCTGGCACATTCAGATTTTCAGCTAAATTTTGTCTTCTTTCTCCTTCCAGAAATTCACTCATACTTCAACTTTTATCCTCCATCACTCATCACAAAGCTTCCCTTAATTCTGCTTCCTCCTGAAATTTTCTATTTTGACTGTTTGGGTTCCAGAAGCTTTGAGAAAGAGGAGATCTACACCTCTTTGCTCTGTGTCTTCTCCCACTCATTGGTAAAACCTGTGAGATCTTGTTCCTGCTCCGAACGTCAGACTGGCTCTTCCAGGTGCTTCGTCTCCCACCTGCTCTCCATTGCTCAACGGTCAATACACGTATTTTACCCTTTTGCTGAGGGATGAGCTGAGGCCCGGGTAGCAAATACTCAGTCCTCCTCCTTAAACTCACTTTCTGTGGGAAATCCAAACTGTGGGCCACACCTCTTTGTGTGTTTGCTTGTTTTGTGTTTTAAAAGAAAGACTCCATTCTCTGGACCGTCTTAACTCCACACCTGCTCCTGAGTCTCAGGCTTCTGTTTGCCTCTTAAAGGTACAAGAACCTGGAGGTCTTGTCCATCCTTACTCCTCCCCCTTTATTTCCTACCTTTTCTCTCCTTCATATACTCTCTCGCTTTCAATTACCATTTTAAGAGAAAGACTTCTGAATCGTTGCCTACGTCCGACCTCATTCTGACTGCAGTCTTACCTTCAACCACCTGGTGGCCTCTCTCTGCAGAAGGCCCGTTGGTGCTTCGTGAACAAACACGTGGCCGCAAACGCTACTAACCAAATGCTGAGTAAACTCTGCATCCTGACATTGAAAACCCTCTGTACTTTGGTCTCAGCCTCCCCTTCTACGACCCCTCCCCATACACCTATGACCCTCAACCTGGTCTATACTGGCTTCTCTGGGCTTGTTCTGTTCCCTCTGCGTGGAAAGCTTGATGTTTGGGGCCTTCTTGGCATTGACTTTTGTTAGCCATTACTTACGTTTTATTAGCGGTTTAATGAATAAGGAAGAAATGCTTGTTTCTAGAAGGGACTAGAAACTGATTAAACCTGTCACCGGGTACAGATGAGGGCAGCCCTCCAACAGAAAGTAAAGCACACGATTGCCATCTAGTGGTGGATGTGGGTAGTTACAGGGAAAGTAGGCTGGTCTGTTTATTCAACGCCTGTTTATCAAGAGCCTTGTATGCCAGGGACCAGGGATGCAGCAGTGAATAAATCTGATTTAAACACACACACACACACACACACACACAACGAACTTCTGCCCTCATGATTTCTGTGGAGATACCAGAGCAAAGTGAAGGGTAAGCAGAGTCAGTACCTTAATTAAGTAGTGTTTGGGGGCTTGAAAAACCCAGTTACAGTTGGCCATGTCATTATAGTCTTCAGGATAGTGAAGACTCTGTATGAGGCCTTCCTTAAAAAGGACAGTAAAGGAACTGCAACCTGAATCTGAAACACAAGGGGAAACGTCCCAACAATGGCATCACTCAAGCAAAGAGGAATCCTCTTCGCGCTCCCTCCTGTCTCCCATAAATGATGCAGCAGCTGACTCTTCAGGCAGAGCCAACACGAAGGAAGATGCCTGTGTGCTGACTTTCCAGGACTCATTCACCCTCCCAGCTAATGTGTGATAAACACGAGTTAGCAGGACTGTGGAAGGAGCCCCTACACGGGCCTCTCCCCGGCCTTGTGCTCCCCCCTCCTAATTCCTACGGGGCCTCCAACTTCTCAAGGTAGCCTGGATAGTGTGGGATAAAAGCAAGTGGTTTTACCAGGAAGGTAGTTTGGTTTTAGAGCTTTATAGGTGAGGTTAAACCCCGCTGCATAATCTGTGGCGTCGGAGATGAAATTCAGCCGTACAGAGTTGGAGCCGACAAGAACAGATGAAGCGAGGCTCTTCCCACAGAACTTCCCTGCAACACAAGAAGCAAGAGTCTTGGTTCAGAGTCTAGAAAACAGCACCCATTGAGAGACTTAAGGAGAACTGGACTTGTCCTGATAGGACGGGATTGTCTAAGCCGGGGTTTCTCAACCTTGGTACCACTGACATCTTTGAACTGGAACATGCTTGGTGTTCAGACTGTCTTGTGCATTATGGGATGTTTTACAGCATCCTGGCCTCTGCTCGCCAGATACCAGTAATACTCCTTCTAATCATGACAACCAGAAATGCTCTGAGACGTTGCCACGTTATGTCCTGGGCAGCAAAAATCACCTCCTGTTAGGAACCACAGAAATGCTCCTTCATCTCAGTTTCTTGCATAAGGAACCTTTGCCTCTACTCATGATTATCCATTGGTACTTTCCTTCTTAGCTGGATGATGCAATACAGGTCGTTTGCATGCCTAGGAAAGCAACATTCCCCCTGTGATGTGTCTGTATTTTACTCCTGAGGGGCTCCAGGCCTGGCACACGAATCCAGGAAGTCTGGTTCCAGGGCAAGCAGATGCAGCAAACGAAATGGCTCAGATTCAGTTCCTTTCCACTGTCAATCCCGAGTCTCAAACTTAGAGATGGGCAGCGTGGTGTTTAGAGATGCCTCAGTGCCAGACGTACGGCATCCCAGCCCCATGAAGCCCTCCCAGCACAAGTGTCCATTTGACAACGTGAAAATCCGCTCACCGATAAGTCTGTCTTCTACGGAATAGATGGAGAGGTAACTGTGGTGACAAGACTCTGCATCCAAGTGGGAAACACCGAGCAGTACATGCATTTTCTCTGGGACCAACAGGGTCCAGACACACCGTCTGCAGGCAGATCCATTAAGAGGGTGTCATTTCTAGACAGAAAGTGGCTGTCACAGTCCAGTTACTGGGCACAGTCAGACTGGAGGTGGCGGTTGGGGGAGGAGGGGCAGGGGGCTACTCACTGTTGGCTCTCGTAATACAGGTAGGGGCCTTCTGGGAAGTGCAACTCGCCCTCAGACTCGCGGAGCACACGATCCTGCTCGCTGCATGGGGCTGGGAGAGAGAGCCATGAGAAGCAGGGTGACAGTGGGGGCTAGCCTTCTGGAACCTGTGCAGACACCGGAACCCCCTGGTTCTTCATTATGCATGCTTCCTCTCTTGGGAAAGCTTTCCCTGCCGTGGCTTCTGCCATGCCTTATTCTTTCTGTTCTTTTTTAGATCCTGCTTAACCTCGAGATTCGATGATTTCTTCTCCTTCACTATTCTTTCTCTGGCATCATAACTCGATTCTATACCTACATGTATTTCCCAGGTTCTATCCTTAGCTTTCACCTCTCTCTATACGAGCCCTCTGACGGGTCTCATTTATACCCTGAGTTTCAACTATTATTCTACACTCCTGAGCTGCAGACCTGGTTTTGCAACCATTTCCTAGATATCCCCTTAACATGCTACAAATGGTCTGCAAAACTGCTTCCGCTTCTGATTAGGTTACCTTTTGTTAAGAAAGATTGATTGATTGATTGATTGATTGATTGATTGATTGATTTTAGACAGGGTGTGTGAGCAGGGGGAGGGGCAGAGGGAGAGGGAGAGGGAGAGAGAAACTCAAGCAGACTCCATGCCTAGCATGGAGCCTGACATGAGACTCGATCCCGCAACTCTGAGATCACCCTGTGAGCTGAAACCAAGAGTCAAACGCTCAACCAACTGCACCACCCAGGCGCCCCCTGATTAGATTACTTTTATGTGCCCTTTGCTTCATCTCCCATGCTCGAAACTTTGGTACCATCCTTGCTTCCTCCCTGCCCCTCACCACCCTTCATCAAAGTGACTACCGGGTCCCAATTCCTCCTGTTTCTATTCCCATGCTTTCATTCTCCAGCCCTGTCCTAGGTCTCTGGAACTAATGTGTAATCTCAGAAGTCCCCTCCAACCTATCCCCTACATGCTGTTCTCGTACCACCAGAATATTGCTCTAATCTAGTTACCTAATTCATCAACTTCCTATTACTCAGTCAATCCA